ACCACTGTGTAAAAGACAAGCGAAGGCTACTAGGATATCTAGAATCCTGATGGCTATGATTTCCCCAGATTCACCTCTTTTCCTCCTTATCTCTGGATTTTTCTCAACTCTACATTTTGTCACCTTTCCCCCAGTTCTAAAGATTAACTGCCTATTCATTTTTTCCTACAAGCTCACTCTTTTCTGCTTGAATGTTTTACTGAACCCTTTTTCTTTGATAGCTTGTTTCTATTTTTGTTTTGTTTGTGTTTTTTTTTCTGTGAATGAGATATGGGGAAGTTGGGTAAGAAATGTTTCAAGTACATTAACATGGAGGAGGAATTCTACCCACTGTGGAAGTTCTAGCATCTAACCTAGCCATGCAAGAAGTTACCCTGAGAAGCAAGAAGTGGAACCCAATGTCAGGTGCTTTCAGAAGGCTGAACACTCAGACTCTCTGAGAACCTTGATTAATGGACATTGTAGTATTAGATTAGGCTCTTTTAAAGATCCTTTATGATTTCAGAGTTGTGAAGAATTCTTGTGAAAGAGGAAGGACTATACTCAGTTTGTTTGTGGAAAGAATAATCGTGGGGTGGTCATAGATTGGTGTCAAAGAGGAAGGGCTTAAAGGGGCAGTGTTTGACCTTGTTCCTGCCAATCAAGAAAATTTCAGTTTGGTTAGCTTCGTGGTTGATAATGAAAATTTTCCCAGTTGTTTTATTTCTTATTAGTTGAAGGTGAGAATCAGGAATGTACAAATGAGAGAATTCCTTGGTGGTGTCTGCCCACACCAGTGTACATGTGGTAGGGGCAGCTCCCGGGAATGGCTGCCACCAGTGTCTGTGTCCCCAGGGTGAGTCAGAGCCACTCCTTGCCTCTCTGAGAGACTCTCCAAGGCAAGCAGAGTATTCTGAAATTGGACTTTTCCTTAGGATTTACACCACTGTTTCATTTGGAGTTAATACTTGTAACTGAGTATTGAGCATATGCAGGAGCTAATCTTCTGTTAGCTGGAAAATCTTTTGCCTGGTTTGCCTCAGCCAGTTTTACCAAATGTCAGAAATGGAAACACAGATTACAAATACTGCTGCCAGCTCTCCTGTTAAATGACTCTTCATCTCTAACCTTCCCTTGTGTGTGGAGGGGATGGATTTACTTAGTCTACCTTTGATGGCCTCAGTCACTTCTGTCCTGTGTGTTCTGGAAGCTTTGAAGAATCATATTTAATATGTGTATTCTTATTCTCTATATATACTTTAGGGTTTTGTTTTCACAGTTTTTTGCTATTCACTATTTTCTATTTTCTTTGAGAAAAATTACTGGAAAATTGTTCTTGCTGGTATTTTTCATATAGAATATAATATCAATTTTATATTTTCAATAGTTGAAACTTATGCAAGAATGGAAATTCCTTGTACATTGTACTTTTCATCACTTCTCTGAATTGCCATGACTCCTTGCTGGAGGCAAAGTTGTGCATGTGTGCTCAGTCAGTCAGTTGTGTCTGATTCTTTGTGACCCCATGGACTGTAGCCCACCAGGCTTCTCTGTCCATAGGGTTATCCTGGCAAGAATACTGGAGTGGGTTGCCACTTCCTCCTTCAGAAGGATCTCCCCAACTCTGGGATCAAACCTCTGTCTCCTGTGTCTCGTGTATTGAGATGGATTCCTTTCCATTGGTCCATCGGAGGAAGTATCAAAATAATGCTTAAGAATAGCAAATGACTCTCCCCTCAAATTACATCAGATTAAAGTATCAGTTCATGTTTGAAAACCTTTATCTTTTTGAAAATTCTGTCCCAAATAAAGAATAATCATTATCAACAAAAAGAAAAAAAAATTAGCCATGAGTGGCAGATACGGGTCATTAACTGGTATTTATACCTTACTGAGGCTTTTGTTCAACTGTTGTTGTTGTTTTTAATATTCATTTGTTTAGCTGTGCTAGGTCTTAGTTGCAGCATGTGGGATATAGTGCCCTGACCAGGGACTGGACCCAGGTCCCCTATACTGGGAGTGTGGAGGTGTGGAGTCTTAGCCACTGGGCCACCAGGGAAGTCCCTCAACTGGATTATCAAATACTGTTTATCAGTGAAAAAATCCACATATGTTTAGGCAGTAGTGACCTGCCTTTATTTATAGTCTTTTTTGCTGGATTTGTTACATTTATTCATATTCTCTTTGGTGAATGACATTACTCTTATTTCTTCTGTAGTTACAAGGATGTTAGGCTCATATGGAGAGCTGAGTAACAGGAAACAGTTATTTCCAAAGAGAACCACAAGTTTCGGGAAAGTCTGGGATGGCAGATATTACTGCTGGGCTTCCGTTGGTTTGTGGCTGCAGCACTGGACTGCCCTTGGCGGCACCTGGGCTGGGACTGCCCATGTGCACAGTTTGATATTCTTGCTTCTTTGTGTGGGCCTCGACATTTCCATCTCAGGAAACTCTATAAACAGTGTGTTTGGCAATCCCTTGTATGAGGGTCTCTTCCAAGAGCTCTCTATGCCTCTTGGGATGGATGACAGGACATGGTGGAAATGTATGATAAGTAATCATTTTACTCAGGTCTGATCATCTTACTTATACTTCAACTAAATAGTGTTCCCTTTATCCTCTATAGTAGATGAAAATTTCCATGACTTCATGGAAGGAGAAGCAGTTGGTGCAGCCTGAGAATGTGTGTGTGTGTACATGTGTATAGATCAAAACAGAAATGTTGAGGTTTAATGAGACACCCATATGAGGGACTCAGCCATCTGTTGGTAAATATCCTGATCAGACACTAGCTGGCTGAGCAGAAAATGCTTAATTATTTTGGTGTTTGGTGTTATGGATTCTCCTTCCCTTCCTCTGGTGTGTGGGTTCCTCAGGTTCAGACAGATAGAAGAAAGCTATCAAAGCAAACCTGTCAGTTGCTTCCCCTGTCTGTTAGTAAGGCAGGATTGCCAAAAAGGAAAAGCCCTGCTCCTGAAAGATTTCCAAAATTTTGGCATTTTGTCTTTTGAGAAGTCTGTGGAGGAAATGACGTTGAGGGCCAAGGTGTTTACTTTTGGTGACTTGGATTCTTTGAGTGTTGGTTTTCCTTGATGGTGGAGAAGGAAGGGGACCTTCCTGGGGAGAAGTGGACCTTCAAGGAGTGACCAGAGAGAGGAAGTAGCCTGTGGGGTGAAGTGGCTGTTTGGCAGGATGGGTAAGTGTTGCCGTTTTTTTGCTTTTTCTTTGAGAAAGAACTTGCTTTCCCTAAATCTTACTCAGGGTGGAAGCCTCAGTGCACCCTGAGTCAATTGGTTTAGCCTTGGGGAAGAGATGATTCAGAACATTTCTTCCAAACAACTAGCTGCAGTGGATGGTGGATGGAGAACCACAGAAGACATAATTTTTTCGCTTGACCTCCACCATGTTTAATTCTTTACTCCAAGGAACATTCTGACTTCTAGAGGATAGAGGCATAGTGAGGCAGTGCTCTTGGGAGCTGAGAGCCTGCAGAGCTGCCAAGCCTGGTTTCTTTGTGGTATTCCAGCTGAAGCTGGTTTCCATTCCCTTGACCTACAGATATATGGGGTTCAGGGTGGAAAAGAGTGGCTGTATTTGTGCCAGTGTCTCAGTTTGTAAAGATTCATGAAGAAGGTGATAAAACCGTGTCTCCCATATGTGAACCAGGTTGACTTTCTATTGGGCTGGGGCATTGAGAGTACAGCAGACATGGGTAGACTGCCAGCAGGCTTGTTCATATGGAAGTAGATTTCTTACTTTTCTTCTGTCTCCTATTTCATCTTGAGGTTCAGTTGGTATTGAGCCTGGTTGTCATATTTACTGAGCATCCACAGTGAACTAAGCATGATGCACTAAGACTTTACTATCTTTGAATGTAAAATTTTGCCTTAAGGTTAAACTGTTGCTTGCTTGTCTTATGGGGCATAGTGGATCTGCATATTTTTCTTTTAAATTAGCCATGAATGTAGCATTCTGTCAAAATGTATTTTTAGCAGGTAAGATCATGGCATCCGGTCCCATCACTTCATGGCAAGTAGATGGGGAAACAGTGGAAACAGTGGCTGACTTTATTTTTCTAGGCTCCAAAATCACTGCAGATAGTGATTGCAGCCATGAAATTAAAAGATGTTTACTCCTTGGAAGGAAAGTTATGACCAACCTAGACAGCATATTAAAAAGCAGAGACTTTGCTTTGCCAACAAATGTCTGTCTAGTCAAGGCTATGGTTTTTCCAGTGGTCATGTATGGATGTGAGTGTTGGACTATAAAGAAAGCTGAGTGCAGAAGAATTGATGCTGTTTTTGAACTGTGGTGTTGGAGAAGACTCTTGGGAGTCCCATGGACTTCAAGGAGATCCCAGTCCATCCTAAAGGAGATCAGTCCTGGGTATTCATTGGATGGAGGAGGAAATGGCAACCTACTCCAGTATTCGTGCCTAGAGAATCCCCTGGACAGAGGAGCCTGACGGGCTGCTGTCTCTGGGGTTGCACAGAGTCACACATGACTGAAGCGACTTAGCATGCATGCATGCATTGGAGAAGGAAATGGCAACCCACTCCAGTGTTCTTGCCTGGAGAATCCCAGGGACAGAGGAGCCTGGTGGGCTGCTGTCTATGGGGTCACTCAGAGTTGGACACGACTGAAGCAACTTAGCAGCAGCAGCAGCAGCAGTTTCATTGGAAGGACTGATGTTGAAGCTGAAACTCCAATACTTTGGCCACCTGATGCGAAGAGCTGACTCATTGGAAAAGACCCTGATGCTGGGAAAGATTGAGGGTGGGAGGAGAAGGGTACGACAGAGGATGAGACGATTGGATGGCATCACCGACACAATGGACATGGGTTTGGGTGGACTCTGGGAGTTGGTGATGGACAGGGAGTCCTGGCGTGCTGCAGTTTATGGGGTCGCAAAGAGTCAGACACGACTGAGTGACTGAACTGAACTGAACTGAATGCTAAAAGTAAATTTTGTATTAAGAAAAACTGACATTTCTAATTAAAACTTTTTTCTTTTCTTTTAGGAATGCACCAGATTAGTTCAACCCATATTTTTGGGGAAAATGATTAGTTACGTTGAAAACTACGATCCCAATGATTCTGCCCCTTGGCGTGAAGCCTATGGCTATGCGGCAGGGCTGAGCGCCTGCGTGCTCCTGTGGGCTGTTCTGCATCACGTGTACTTCTATCACATTCAGCGTGTAGGGATGAGGCTGAGAGTAGCCATGTGCCACATGATCTACCGCAAGGTGAGTGTCCCTAGGTGCCACAGTGTGCACCTCTCCTGAAGCATCAGGAACATTTGGAGAAAGTTCTCTGTAAACTGAAAATTTCATAACTGGGATTGTTTACACCTTCCCAAAGAAGCTTGCTATTTGCACCAAGTCAAGTTTGTTGTTGTTGAAGCAAACTTGGCCAATAAATAATGAAAAGTTTTATTTGAGATCAAGTGAGGGCTGCCCTTGATAACTTTAAGCCATAGGCTGTTGCATAATACCAACTAAATTTGTAGTATTGAATTAATATTAAATTATATTTTAAAAATATTAAATTAATATTTAAAAAGAAGTATCAACATATTAAGTTGATTTTCAATGTCTTCATGCCTAAATCCCATAGTGCTATTTATGGAAATTTTTTGTTGTTGCTCATTAAAATCTTAATTTACATCAAATATATATTTAAAAGTGAACTTCAGAGATTGGATCTATAAAACTATATCTAGAAGCAGAGAATGTATTTGAGAAAGCGAATCATTATAATTTTAAAAGACCCATCTCATTATATTCAATATAATTATGTTAATTAGAGAAAAATATAAAGAGAATTCATGCCAAGTATAGACTCACTCACTATATTCTATAGATGTGATTGTTGTTAATGGTATATCAAAGAAGATAGGGTATTTGAGATAAAACTTGAAATTTTACACTGTTTCATTCATTCTAGAGACAATTTATTGCTCATTTAAACTATTTTAATAGAATATTTCCTTTTATCTTTAGTGTGCATCATAGTACTTTTAATAAGACTGATTTAATGTGTTCAGTGATTTTATATTGAGGAATGCCATGAAATTATTCCATAGTTTACCTTGGTCTAAACTAGTATAAAAGGAATAAGGATTTCACATATCTTTACAAAGGTATTGCCACAGATACATCAGTGTCAAGAGCTGAAGTGCTCTCTGTAAACTTTGTCCTGGATACCTCTTTGCCTTAGACTGCTTTAAAAAAAAAAAAAAATCCTTATTTGACTGTATTGTAGCCTTGAAAATTTCCAAGAGTGAATCTTAAGTATTCTCACCACACATTTAAAATAGGATCACTATATAATGTAGTGGATACTTTAAGTGGTTTTACTATAGTAATCATTTCCCAATGTGTATTTATATCAAAGTATCATGTGGTAACATATATATATATATATATACATATATATATATAAATTTTTTTAATAAAGTCCTCATTGAAAGATAAAACCAAACAGCTTAAATTGAAAATATTGCTTCTTTTACCTAGTTGTTACTTACCTAGAGTTTCTATTTCTTCAGAATATTTCTGTCAGCAGAAAGTGAGATGTCATCTTATCTTTCCTTGAGCAGAGTCTTGTACATCTTGGGACTGTGTGAACCTGGGAATCTGACATCTCACTGTCGTGCTTGACAACAGCATCTGAGCTGGTTTCCTTCTGGGGGATGTGGAAATTGCAGTAGTGCCCCACTCTCCAGTCAGGGTCTTCCTTGTCATTTATCATCATCTTTGTTACTCTGTTGCATCATTAACCATTTAGGAGATGGATACTCAAATGTCCCCACAAATTGGCTAAATGTTTGTCTTTTCAGATCATGCTAATCTCAAGTGAGTGATAGTCACTCACTCGTATCCAACTCTTGGCAACCCATGAACTCTAGCCTGCCAGTGAGAGGGTAACAGGCAGGAAGGCCAGGGGTCTCCAAACGGAGGAGAGAGGCTGCAAGTGCCAGACATTTTTCTCTCTCTTAAGCGGCAGGAGGAAACAAGCCAGCAATATTTTTTCTTCTCTACACAAATTTAAAAGGAGGTTTCTCTTAAAATGCTGTGTTGCCATGACACCTGGTTTCACCTGAAGCTAACTACTCTCAAACCTTGAGTTAACCAATACATTTCTTTTTCTTATGGAAATGTTGTCTTAAGCTATGACTCTATCTTCAAGTTGGTTCCCCCAAATGGCCCAACCTACTTACTCAGGTATTGTTCCCCTAATCTATGTAAATGAAACTATTCGTTGGTAATCTGCCCTTCTACAAGATTCAAGTCAATCGTTTTATGGCCAGGGATGAATTATCTGGTGCCATTCTAAATTTTATGACATTCCTTTCTTTTCATTAACAGATTGTGAGTGACTATATAACAATAATGTATCCTGCCTGAGGACAGTCTTTGGATTAAACCCTCTGGCTAATTCTGTTATTTTAAAACATAAATTATGGGAGCAGGTCTGGTCTTTACAAGGATGTATTCTGCCTGAGGACAATCTTTGGATTAAACCTTCTGGCCAACTCTGTTATCTTAAAATGTAAACTATGGGAGTAGGTCTGGCGAGGTCTTTACAACCTCCGGACATTCTTTGGATTCATTCGAGAGTATATAACTCCATTGCTAAAACTAGCAAAGGGGTACTCTTTTGCCCCCTTCTGATATGTCAGAAGCTTTCTCTATCTCCTTTATACTTTAATAAAACTTTATTACACAAAAGCTCTGAGCAATCCAGCCTCGTCTCTGGCCCCGGATTGAATTCGTCTCCTCCGGAGGCCAAGAATCCCGCGTCTTATCGTTCAGCAACAACCTTTCACCAGGCTCCTCATTCCATGGAATTCTCCAGGCAAGAATACTGGAGTGGGTTGCCATTTCCTTCTCCATAACTCTCATAACAATTTTGAAATTTTACTAGAACTGCATTGCGAAAACCTTAAGTTAGATATGAGGTGATGGTTTAGTCAAAGATCACTCTTTGCAGCACAAGTGAGCCATTGTCCACCTGTTTTTCTTACTCTTCCCTCTAACACTTTGAAATCTTTCCTTTTGGAAATGTGATCTGACCTGGCACCTTGGCTTATGTGAATGTAAACATCTCCCAAGATGTTCATTTGCTGGCTTAATTATGCCTAAAATATGGTTCCTATATGAAGTCGGAAATTATGGAGATTATACTATAGACATAACCTGAAATTGCAGAAACCTGGGAAAGACAAACTTCCTTGTGCACAGCCTTGCATCGAGAGTCCTGTTGTTGCAGAAACAATACACTTCTTTTCAGGTTATATAGGTGGGTTGATTCCTAAGGGCCCAAAAGCTGGTGCTTGCTACAGAGCACTCTGAAAGCATTTGTGGTTCATCCTGTGGGCCCCACCTCCTGATCCCTGGTCTTGGGAAGTAATCAGGTCGAGTGTTAAAAATCAGGTGGCTGCTAGCTCATAGCTCATAGCTCATAGCTGTGGTTTGTCCTCACCATAGATTCCAGGTTTGGGCATGGCTTCAGGAGATCTCTAAGGCTGCACAGCTGCAGCTCCTAAAATGACCCATTCAGCATTTTTGTGCTCTTTGCAGCTGAATTTTGCATGAGCATGAGGGAGGTATCATATATAAAAATGACTTTCCATTTTCTTAATATATTGCCACAGATTTGGTAAAGTTACTTTTGACTTTTGATCACTGATCTTTTTTTCATTCTGGTAAAATATACACAGCATAAAGTTTACCATTTTCATTCCTTTTAAGTGCAGCATTTAGTGACATTAGGTATATTCACATTGTTGTGTGGCCATCACCATTATTCATCTACAGAACTTTTTCTTTTTGCCAAAATGAACCTCTGCACCCATTAAACATAGACTTCCCAACCCTTCTCCTCTCACCCAGTACCATTCTTCTTCTTCTCTCTGTGAATTTGACTATTTTAGCACCTCATATAAGTAGAATCATACAGTGTTTGTTATTTTGTGTGTGGCTTATCTTCTGTAACATGATGTCTTCAAGGTTCATCCATGTTGTGGCAGGTGTCAGAATTTAATTCCTTTTTAAGGATGAATAGTATTCCATTATAGGTCTATACAGCATTCTGTATATTTGCTTATCCGTCAATGGACAGTTGTTTCCATCTTTTAGCTATTGTGAACATTGCTGCCATGAATATGAGCATACAAATTATCTGTTCATGTGTTTTTAGTTTTTTTGAGTATATCCTTAGTAGTATAATTGCTGTATTATATTCTAATTTCGTGTTTAATTTTTGAGGAATGTCCATATTCTCTTCCATTGTGGTTATATCATTTTACATTGTCACTTGATCACCGATTTTCTTCTTTAACTTGAGGAGTAAACAGAACGTTTTTTATAAACTATGACATTTTGTTTGGACCAGTGGCTCCAGTTGGTGGTCTGTTGTGGCAGCTCCTGGTGCTCTTCAGGTTCCTAAGATCTCTAGGGCATTTTTCTTACTAAATAAAGGGATTGTGCAACACAGGTTGTATTTTTTGTAGTCAGCAGACTGGCGTTAAGAACACAGCTTCCTCATAGGAACAGTGTTTTGGACATTATACTTGCTCATTTCAGAATGAACAAACTAAGCTCAAAGTGTTTAAATATTGTCACCCACAGAATGAATGTTTGTAGTTTTATAGTTTATAGTTTATAAACTGTAGTTTATAGTTTATAGTCCAGGTTTATAGTTCAAGTCTCTGAATTTCTTTCCTTAAGGCAGCCTCTCCACTTTCATCTAATTTGGTTCAAAATTAGTTAGTTGTCTCTTAAGTGTGAACCTACACCCTTTACTCTTCGGACAGGCCCAAGTTTATTGAAACGGGGTGAGGGGTGAGGAGGTGGGGATTTTGCTTCTACCTCCTGCTCCCCCCTTTGACATCGTTGAAGCAGGGCTGCCGCCACACTGACGAGTTAAAGTCTGAACAAGGGTCCCTAGAGCCCTGCTGTCAGGGCTCATCCTGCTCGTGCTGACACCACTCAAGACCCCAGGAACGCATGCTCCATTGTGTTATGTTCTAAGATGATTTAGGCATTCAGTTCTCTGTCTCCATTTCTTATTTCAGACACTTTGCCTTAGTAGCTCAGCCATGGGGAAGACCACCACAGGCCAGATAGTTAACCTGCTGTCCAACGATGTGAACAGGTTTGACCAGGTGAGCTGCCTCTGAGGGATCCTCTTCCATTTCCTGTTCTTCTCACTGGGTTCAGTTTATTGGGATGCCAGGTGCCAGGGTTTGGTGTTGGCCAGGATTCCATTGAGGATGTAAGGCAAAGGTTCTATTTATCCAACTTTCATTTCTTTGTGTGCAGTTTAGATGCAATTATATGTGTTGTTCAGTAAGTGACAGTTTTGTTTTTCTGACAATAAATAGGCAGCATTGTTCTTGCTTGGCTTGATTAGTATTTCTAGGGGGTCTTCCTGGAGTGGCCCTTCTTGGCACATGGTATTGGTGTTGCTGCCTGAACTGTCTTCCTCCTCCTGTGGATGATGAAGGCCTGGTGGTTAGGGATTCCTGTTCAGTGCCTGCTTCACAGGAAGCCTGAGAGAAATATGCCAAGTGTGTGGTCCCCAGCCAGACACAACCTATCCTCTGTTGTCTCCCCAGTCTTTTTTCCACTAACCCTAGGCATAGATCACATGACCCAGGGCATTGTAGCTGTTGGTCAGATCTGTGTTACATTAGACACTCCTCAAGTATTCATTCATCAAACATGAAGTAAGGCCCCTGCTCAGTTTCAGGGATGAATAAAGCTTAGTTCCTGCCCTATCGAACCCATAGCCTATCAGGGAGGTAAGTATACAAGTATCTCCTGGAGAGAGTGGTGGGTACCATAATATAGGATTTCCTGGAGTGCTGGGGAGCCCCAGGGTAATGAGGGATAAATTCTGCGACAAGAAGCATTTGAGGAAGTCCTGAGCTCATCTGTAGTGTAGACAAAATCAACATCTTCCTTCAGTCCTGATGGTAGAGTCCTCCCCGACCATCCCTGGGTCTGACCCTTTGCTGCCCCGGAACAGCACCATCTGGGGTGGACACTGGTTTTATGCTTCATCAGGTTTAAAACCTGCTGAGATAATTTCTGTTTAAATTCCTGGCTATTCCTTCAGAGCAAAGTGTTTCTACACTGTGTCCTTGCAGTTTTGTTTTTATACCATCCCAAGAAGGCTTTGTCTTTCTCTCTTAAGGTAACGATATTCTTGCACTATCTGTGGGTTGGACCACTGCAGGCTATTGCAGTGACCGCCCTGCTCTGGATGGAAATAGGAATATCAAGTCTTGCTGGGATGGCGGTTCTCGTTATTCTTTTGCTTTTGCAAAGCTGTTTCGGGAAGTTGTTTTCATCACTCCGGTAAGAGAAACACTTCTTTTAAAAATTGATAATATGTAGTTGGTAACATCCACAGTCTGCTTGATGCTCTTGTTGAAAAACAAGACAAATTCCTTCTCTGGTCTCTTCTTTGTGTGGGTTATAGACCCTTCAGGCTTAGCCATTGGAGGCTCCAGCCTTATGCTGAAGGCCTACCTTGAAACAGGAGCAGTGAAGGCATTCATTGGCTCCTCTTGGCACTGTATATGAATAAGTAGAGTGTTCTTTAACAGAATTTACCCATGTCCAAGTTATTTAATTATTGTTAAAATGGAATAATCTTGTAGGCCCATTTCTCACTGCCTGTGTTTTTGTTATGCTTCTGTTGGAACCTTTTCAGGTATTATGTTCATGTTGCCATTAATTTATAAGCACCCCAAGGGCCAGGCTGATCTTCCTTATATCTTTATGAAGCCCCACATTCACAGCAGCACATGTGGTAGAAAAGTGGCTGGTGGTGAAGAGCCTTCTGGTGATGAGTTAGACCTGAAGCAGATCCCAGAGGGTTGGAGGTGGGTGGTTGTCAGGTGATGGGGATGTTGTGCTGTTTGAAGCTCACTGAGTTCTTGTGTGTGTTGTGTGTGTGCAGGTCTGTGCTTGGTGTCTTTCTCTACTTGGAATTCCCTTTCCTATCTTTGCTGTAGAGATGCTCCCTGTCCTTCGAGGCCCTGTTCCAGTGCTACCAGGTCTCTGAAGCACTTCTTGTTCTCCTTTCCTGTTGGAATTAACAGCCTCATCTTTTCTGCTCCCCAGAACTTCACTCCTATTTTATTATAGCACAGCCACTGTCTTAGTGCCGTGTAGATTTGGGTGCCTTTCTGCCTTCCCTACCTGTCTGTGACCTGCTTGAGCAAACAGTTTGTATCTGACTCATTTTAGGTCTTTCTTAGCTGATGCTGCAAGTTCTCCAAGTTACTTCTTAAAATGCCCTGAATGGTTGGTTGACTTCCTAATTGAATCATTTTCTCGGTTTGTACTTTGAGTAGGACCTGCCTGTTTTCTAAGTGCAAAAGGACTGTAGAGAATAATTTGATTCCTAGCTACTCCCCCTGTGCCCACTCCTGCTGCTGGTGCTGAGGAAAGTTGGGCTGTGGTCTCACTAAGGCTCATCTCTCACGTATGTTCTCTTAGGAGTAAGACCGCTGCTCTCACAGATGACAGGATCAGGACCATGAGTGAAGTCATAACTGGCATCAGAACAATAAAAATGAATGCTTGGGAAAAGTCATTTATAGACCTTATTACGAGATCAAGAAGGTAAATTTACATGTATATATATATGTGTGTGTGTGTGTATGTGTGTGTGTATCACTCCATATTTTCATGCTTTATTTCCCATTCTACTGAATGCTTTAGATGTCTTACCAAATAAGTATTTAAATTCACTTTCACATTAACATGAACTTAAATACTTACTATTCACTGCATCCCCCACATGTTCCAGGAGGGTTAAGTAGAGTAGTGGAGATGTCATTTAACCTGCTTTTCCATTTACCATCTTCTCAGAGGAAAAAAGGGTTTACCTGGTGGCTCAGCTAGTAAATAATTCATCTTCAATGTGGGAGACCTGGGTTCAATCCCTGGGTTGGGAAGATCCCATGGAGAAGGGAACAGATACCCTCTCCAGTATTCTGACCTGGAGAATCCATGGACTGTATAGTCCATGGGGTTGCAAAGAGTTGAACATGACTGAGCGACTTTCACAAAGGAAAAAATATATATGCTTCTTACTTATATAGAAATGAAATTCTAAATACTTCTTAATACCTTAAATCTCAATAAGCAATGCTTTTAAGATAGCATTTGAAACTATGACATTCAAACTAAAATTGTAACTTATGTTGATGGAGCACATATGGGGGGGAATTATAGAGATTGGGTGTACCTGTGTTGAACCAAACTGAATGAATCACTATTCTTCATTGTCATCATGCTTAGTCACTCAGTCATGTCCCACTCTTTTCGACCCCATGGACTGTAGCCTGCCAAGCTCCTCTGTCAGTGGGCTTTCTCAGGCAAGAATACTGGAGTGGGTTGCCAGTTCCTCCTCCAAGGGATGTTCCTAACCCAGAGATTGAAACCATGTCTCCTGCATTGCAGGTGAATTCTTTACCACCAGGAAAGTTCATGAGTCACTATTATTCATTTCAAACGGAGCTATGAAAATACTGTTCCTTTTATTTTGCTTCATGTTTGTAGGATGTTTTTCCATCTTTCATTTAAATATCTGATGAGCATTTCTCTGACCCCCACCTTGTTACCTCTGACTTTGCACATTTGTGGGGCAACTCACACGGGGCACTGAATCCTTGTCTTGTATGTTGATACTTCTTATAAAACTTAAGTCCTACTTTGTTTTCCAGGAAGGAAATTTCCAAGATTCTGAGAAGTTCCTACCTTAGGGGAATGAATTTGGCATCATTTTTTACTGTGAGCAAAATAATGATTTTTGTCACCTTCATCAGCAATGAGCTCCTTGACAGCCTGATCACAGGCAGCCAAGTGTTCATGGTGGTGATGCTGTTTGAAGCTCTGCGATTTTCTAGCACCTTCTACTTCCCCATGGCCGTCGAGAAGGTGTCAGAGGCCGTCGTCAGCATCCAAAGAATCAAGGTTTAGTGAAAAATAACTTTTAAAAGTTATAGACAGATTTTACCTAAAATGCCTCCTTTTATGTGGTGTCACTGTGTGCCAGTTAGGTGAGATTTAACTCTTTCAGTGCCAAGCTGGCAGTCTTTCCAAAATGTCTGTATTTCTTAGGTCAGGTGCATTAAAAGTATCATAAGCTCCATGCTTATTTAGGGCTGGTAGTATAAATAGCAGCAACACATGCTCTTGACCTGCAATGATGGCTGCAGGATGATTGAAATGCAGGAGAAGCAAACAGATGCATCTGCTGTGCTGACTGGAATGACTAGGCAGTGACTGTGCACAGTCCTGGGGTGACTAGGATTCCTCTCTGGACCAGGAGGGGAGGAACTTGCTGAGAAGTCCTGTTCCCTGGGCAGGAAGAGTGGCCTCAGATTCACTTAGTTCTCTGTGTTTAAAAATGGATTCTTTCCTCCACAGATGTTTTCTCATTGATTTCTGATCTCTGTATTTTTGTCCTTATTTTACTTAGTGTCTAAGCCTGTCTCTACCTGCCCTCTTCCTTTCAAACGTGTGATTCCCACCATACCTATTGTCTCCTTTTTTAAACTAACTGCCCCTAAATAATCAGGGGTAAATCATTTTTATCACAAAGACAAGGGCCTGACACACAGTAGGTGCTCAAGTATTTCTGTTTAAAATGAAGATTAAATTGACTCTGTGAAAATGAATGATTTATTATGACCTCATAAGCCCAAGAAGTCTCTCTGTTTTTCTCTAAGTGAGGAAGGGGTACCCATGGTCTTGGCACTGGATGACTCCAGTAGGATTGCAAAAGATCTTAAGTTCAAAGCACTAAAAGTCTTCAGTGAGTTTTACATCCAATCAAATGTGTCTCTGAGGTGATATTGTTCACAAAGCAGCTTTAGGCTTTGCATTACCAGCCACTGAGAAATCAGTCTCTTTGGCTGCCTCTCTGGCCTTGATACTTTCCTACTGGAGAAAAATCCAGTTAGCATTTCTGGTGCCTTTATGAGCTGATCGTGTATTGAATGGGATCTCATTTAACCCTTTGAAGACTGTGACATCCATCCCCCTCAGAGCTATTATTTGTGGACAAGTGCTCAATAAATTTAATTCTTCACTTAAGGCATAATTTTCCTTTTCTTTCTTTTGTGTTTGAAAGTGAGGAATTTCTATTCTAGTATATGCGGACTGAGTATTGATGTCCTGGTTACATGCTTAAGCTGAAACTGTATTTGATTCTGTCTAGACCAGGTATTGGAGAAGGCAATGGCACCCCACTCCAGTACTCTTGCCTGGAAAATCCCATGGACAGAGGAGCCTGGTGGGCTGAAGTCCATGGGGTCGCTAAGAGTTGGACACGACTGAGCGAATTCACTTTGACTTTTCACTTTCATGCATTGGAGAAGGAAATGGCAACCGACTCCAGTGTTCTTGCCTAGAGAATCCCAGGGAACAGGGAGCCTGGTGGGCTGCTGTCTATGGGGTTGCACAGAGTCGGACACAACTGAAGCGACTTAGCAGCAGCAGCAGCAGCAGACCAGATATATAACATATGCATTACTCTCCAGGGCCCTTGGTCTTTTTAATCAATAGAAGTTGATAATAGGCCAGATGATAAATTCAAGCAAGGTTTTTGAGGCTTGTGCTGCATCACAAAGTATAAAAGCAAGAAACTAATGCCCCCGGTTGACTCAAAAGGGTGGGCTAGTTCCTTAAGTGGGGTGAGGGTGGGGGAGGTTTGGGGGTTTGAGCCATAGGGGTGACTTATGTGGTCTGCCCACTGCCTTGTAGGTGCCATGTGCCAAGATCCTCCCTTCTTTGCTCCCAGAAGCTCAGAAATGGCGGTTGGCTTCTGGTGTTTTTGTGTCTTACTGTTCGTGATCGCCTTTGCATGCATGCGGTTATGTTTAGTCCCTTACGATTTCTTTGTATTTTGTTGCTGAAGGAGACATTTGTCCAGGTGCAAGTGCTCCCACACAGGGTCCCAGCTCCCAGCCTGTCTCATCACCTGTTGCTTGTTGCTGTATTAGCGTAGACTATGTAAGAGTGTAGTCATGCAGTCAGTAGTTGGCTGGTTTGAATAACTGCAGTATGTTCCTTCCTTTAGCTGATGCCCACTATAGGCTGACAGTGCAAGGCTCGGTATTAACTGGAGTTGGGACTGTAAAGCACATGAATGATGTAGTGTCTCCCCTCTGTGTGACTTAGTATTACTCTAGGGATTCAGATGTAGGGAGGGCAGTGCCAGCTAGGGATATCCTCTTGTTTCAGTATGGTTAGTATTTGAGATGGACCCAGAAGGGTGTGTGGGGTCAGTAATCAGCGTGTCCAGGCAGAGGCCACCTGGGGAGTGTGGACTTAGGTGCTAGTGGGTCACTTTAGGTGGGGGGAGGGTATTAAGCTTGTGGACACTCTCTGAGGGGCTGTAAGGAGAACAGGAGGGAGTTGTCTTGGGATACCCAAGAGTCAGTGATGTTAGGGAGGACTGGGGAAGGAACCTGAAAAAGAAAAGTTGCATTATTGAAATAGCTAATAGTGAGTAAGATTCTGAAATTATGTTGTTTCAAGAGGAAAAGAGAATTAGGAGAGATGTGAACTGTGTCAGAACAGGTGAGAGCTGGTACCTGACTGATCATGGGAGTGGTGGTGCAGAGAGAGAACTCAGGCTGTGGTGGTTCAAAGTCTGCAAACATGTTCTCAGACCACCGTCCATCCATTCTGCCTCCTGGTGGACATGGGTTCAGGGAGGGTAGGAGTCTCCACTCTCTCAGGGAGGGTAGGAGCCTTGTGTTAGGTTCTCAATGAGCTTGGATGAGAGGAGGAAGGAATGAATGAATCGCATCTTCCACCAGCTGACATTTGACAGAAATGTAAGGATCATGTCTTTCTTTTTCTGCACAATGGTTTTCACATTAAGGTTTTACCAGTTCTTCTTTTGAAGTAGAAGTTTGCAATCACATTTATGACTCTGAGGCATGATAGATGGGATGTCAAGATGTATAAGGTAATAGGTTACTATTTATGTGTTGTTTTCTTTCTAAAACATCCTCAGATGCTTGTTTCAGTTTCCCCACTTATTGGTAAGGATTCAGTTTGCCTGTGGGTCCCAGAGGTACCCATGTTAAAGCTGCTTACAGGGGCCATTTGTTTTTCTCTCATGCAAGAATCCTTCTGAGGCTCTGAGTGTGTTTCCTGGTAGTGCTGTTAGAAAGTACCACAAACCAGGTGGCTTAAAATTGCAAGAATGTGTTATTTCATAGCCCTGGAGGATAGAAGTCTGAAATCAAGGTGTCAGCGGGGTCAGGATCCCTCTGAATCTGATAAGGGAGCATAATTTCTTGCCTCTGTTAGCTTTGAGTGGTTTTAGGCAAATCTTGGCATTCCTTCACTTGTAACTGCCATCACTCCAGCCTCTGTCTCCATCATCAGGTAACTGTTTTTTGGGTGTATATCAGTCTCTGCATCTCTCATAAGGGCACCAATCATATTGGATTCAGGGCCCACCCTACTCCACTGTGATCTCACTTTAATTGATTACATTTATAGCAACTAAATATCCAAATAAAATCATATTTTGAGGTAACTTGGGTTAGGACCACAGTGTATCTCTTTTGTGGGGATCCAGTTCACCTCAATAAGTTCTATGGTTAGTGTGATCCTCCGTGGTGTTAGGGACCCAGACTCACTCTTTCTTTTAAAAAAAATATTTATTTTAATTGGAGGCTAATTACTTTACAATATTGTGGTTGTTTTTGCCATACATTGATATGAATCAGCCACGGGTGTACACGTGTCCCCCATCCCGAACCCCCTCCCACCTCCCTCCCCACCCCATCCCTCTGGGTTGTCCCAGTGCACCGGCTTTGAGTGCCATGTATCATGCGCTGAACTTGGACTGGTCATCTATTTCACATATGGTAATATACATGTTTCAATGCTATTCTCTCAAATCATCCCACCCTTGCCTTCTCCCACAGAATCTAAAAGTCTGTTCTTTATGTCTCTTTTGATGTCTCATATATAAGGTCATTGTTATCATCTTTCTTAACTCCATATATATGTGTAAATATACTGTATTGGTGTTTCTCTTTCTGACTTACTTCACTCCGTATGTCTGTGTGTGTTAGTTGCTTAGTCATGTCCAACTCTTTGCAACCCCATGGACTGTAGCCTGCCAGGCTCCTCTGTCCATGGGATTCTCCAGGCAAGAATACTGGAGTGGGTTGCCATTTCCTTCTCCAGGGGATCTTCCCAACCAAGGAATAAAACCCAGGTCTTCTGCATTGCAGGCAGATTCTTTACTCTCTGAGCCACTGGGAAAGCCACTACACCCTCTAAACTGGGTACTAGAGGACATCAAAGAGTTCATGTTGTTGGGCATTAATGATGTTGGTAGAACTTTAACTGAACTTGTAAGATAGCAAGGGAAATCCTGATTAAAGCAGAAGACCACAGCAGGGCTCTAAGGTGGCTGATTACTTCACGGCACCAAGGGCACAAAGGAGCACGTGTGATCTGAGACCCTGATTAAAGCCAGAAAGCTTTGCAAAGCTTTATCCTCGGGAAAATGAGTTATCACAGGAGCACATTACCCTCCAAGGCAGTCTATCAAGAAACTTCCTGATTTAACTCTTGTAGAGGAAGCTTATGTTTCTTAAATAATTCATAGCATGGACACAGCTGACCCTTGTGGGGACTGGAGCCTAAATTCACACTATCTATTTGGAATAGCCTGAAAAACCTGTATGTCTTTGATCCAGGAATCCCATTTCAGAGGATCTCTCTCTGTATAGTTAGATGTAACCAAGCAAATATAAAATGATATGTAGAAGGTTAGTCAACATAGGCTTGTTTGTAATAGTAAAAAGGTAGAAAGAATCCAAGTGTCCAGTAGAGGGAACTGGTGGATAAACTTTGGTGCATCCATACAGTGGAGTCCTAGGCAAATGTAAAAATAATGGGATGATCTCTGTCTGCTGGTGGGGAGTCATCCTGGGGCTGTCTGTTTTTTTTCTTTAGCCCCCATTCTCCTGGTCACCACCCCTTCCTTAAGGCTGTCTTGTTAATCCCAACCAAAAAAAAAAAAAAGATAAAAGAATGCAGGATAACATATAATATATGAGAGAGAGGGGAAGAAATGTCTTATGTAAGAAAGAGGGAAATCCCATGCATATTGCTTGTATTTGCAAAAAGAAACATTGAGAGGAGAAGTAAAAGGATGAATGATGAAAATGACTACTAGGAAAGGTGGGGAGAATGAAGTGGATGGGGCGGTGGTTAAATCTCACTTGTATACAGCTTTCTACATAGGTTTGACCTTTCAACTATCTAGTTTTAAAAACTTAATTAAAGCCCCCCAAAAGTCAATAGTTAAATGCCTGGCAAATGTATATCCTTTCTGGATGAATGTGCCCACTGGCCTGAAGGACAGCAGGGTCAAGGTGGAGAAGCCTACAATCAGCAGGAAGCCTGATGGGGATGGGGCTGGTAGTGACCGCACCTTGGAGGCAAACCACAGGGAGTTGAGGGACTCGGACACATTCTTTTCTAGGGGAGAAATGTTCACAAACATGAACATCTTAGCACTCTGTATAATAGGCTATATTTTATCCACCTCATTAGAACTGATTCAAATACATTTTTTAATAGCTGAGTAGTATTCTATTGTGTAAATGTACCACAACTTTCTTATCCATTCATCTGTCAATGGACATCTAGGTTGCTTCCATGTCCTGGCTGTTGTAAACAGCACTGCGATGAACACTGGGGTATGCATGTCTCTTTCAATTCTGGTTTCCTCGGTGTGTATGCCCAGCAGTGGGATTGCTGGGTTGTATGGTAGTTCTGTGTCATGTTTTTTAAGGAGTTCTCCACACTCTTATCCATAGTGGCTGTACTAGTTTGCATTCCCACCAACAGTGTAAGAGGGTTCCCTTTTCTCTGCACCCTCTCCGGCATTTATTGTTTGTAGATTTTTTGATAGCAGCCATTCTGACCAGCATGAGGTGGTACCTCATTGTGGTTTTGATTTGCATTTCTCTGATAATGAGTGATGTTGAGCATCTTTTCATGTGTTTGTTAGCCATCTGTTTATCTTATTTGGAGAAATGTTTGTTTAGTTATTTGGCCATTTTTTGATTGGGTCATTTATTTTTCTGGTAATGAGCAGCATGAGCTACTTGTATATTTTTGAGATTAATTCTTCGTCAGTTGCTTCATTTGCAACTATTTTCTCCCATTCTGAAGGCTGTCTTTTCATCTTGCTTATAGTTTCCTTCATTGTGCAAAAGCTTTTAAGTTTAATTAGGTCCCATTTGTTTACTTTTGCTTTTATTTCCGTTACTCAGGGAGGTGGGTCATAGAGGATCTTGCTGTGATTTATGTCAAAGAGTGTTTTGGTTATGTTTTCCTCTAGGAGTTTTATAGTTTCTAGTCTTACATTTAGATCTTTAACCCATTTTGAGTTTATTTTTGTGGATGGTGTTAGAAAGTGTTCTAGTTTCATTCTTTTACAGGAGGCTGGCCAGTTTTCCCAGCACCACTTGTTAAAGAGATTGTCTTTTGTCCATTGTATATTTCTGCCTCCTTTGTCAAACATTAGGTGTCCAAAGGTGTGGGGATTTATCTCTGGGCTTTCTATTTTGTTCCATTGATATATATTTCTGTCTTTGTGCTCATACCATACTGTCTTGATGACTTAGCTTTGTACTATAATCTGAAGTCAGGCAGGTTGATTCCTCCAGTTCCATTCTTCTTTCTCAAGATTGCTTTGGCTATTCAAGGTTATTTTGTATTTCCATACAAACTGTGAAATTATTTGTTCTAGTTCTCTGAAAAATACCATTGGTAGCTTGACAGGGATTGCTTTGAATCTATAGATCACTTTGGGTCATATACTCATTTTCACTATACTGATTCTTCCAATCCATGGACATGGTATATTTCTCCCTCTATTTGTGTCACCTTTGATTTCTTTCATAAGTGTTTTATAGTTTTCTATATATAGATTTTTTTTTTCTTTAGGTAGATTTATTGCTAAGTATTTTATTCTTTTTGTCTCAATGGTGAATAGGATTGTTTCCTTAATTTCTCTTTCTGTTCTTTATTTCTTATTATTCCACTGCATGTGACCTTGACCCCGCTGGCAGCCTCCAAGGCTCAGGCCGTGGGGTGGAAGAAGGCCCTGGTTGCTGTCACATTCCACTAACCTGCGTTTAGTCACGTGGATGTGCCTATCTGATTGGGAGTCTGGAGAGAGAGGGCCTCCTTTAAGGCTGCCACATGCAGCTAAAATCTAGGGTTTGTTACCTCAGAAGAAAGAGAGAAGATTTCGAGGGCAGCCAGCAGTCTCTGCCTCATGCTCACAGTTTTGGGGACCTTGGAGAAGTGGGAGTGGTATAAATTGTTTGTTCAATTTCTCTACCACTCTAGCTTTCCTCTTTGAATTATGTCTAGCATTTGCAAGACGAGAGAGAGTTTTGTTATATGTGTTTCAGCTTTGTAGCAGTTCATAGGACTTTGTTTTATTTAGCTAAATTGCACTGATTAGCTGCTAAGTGGTGTAGAAGATAACAAGAAATGGGAGGTGTGGCCATTCCTGCTGTTGAGGAGAGAGGGCATTGACTAAGGCGAAGAGCAGTAAATGTGAATAGATGCTGGTAAAATATTTTTTAAGATGTAGAAACTTAAGAGCATTTTCTTTTTAGAATGATGACTTAAGTGATAGTTAATGACAAGCAGTGATATGGATTTGACACACACGAGGGGGAAAGCAGAGTGTACAGGGTTTGCACTCAGAGTCTCTGTCATTGGTCTTGTGTTCCCAGCCTGTCCTGTGCCACCTGCTTCCTGAAGGGCCTGGGAAGGACCTTCCTCTCTGTGTTCTAGCAGTGTCACATGGTGCTTGGCACATGGTGGGATTCAGTTAATGTTTATGAAAAATTTCCTACCAGCTCACCTGTTTATTGTTGGTAACACAAAAGTAAAACTGTAGAAATGTCCAGGTTCTAAATGTATTGGAGTTTGAAGCCATATTTTCTTCTTAGAGAGGAACCAGTACACTTGTTGAGAAAGTAGAAAAGATAGCTGCATTGCCAGGAACTCTTTATTTATCTGTTTTATACACACACACACACACACACACACGTACTATATATATGTATGTATATACTATATTATATATATGTTATACTATATTATATACTTATACGTACCATATACTATAATAAAAATATGTAATATATGTTATATAGTGTTTCTTATGTGAACCAAGACTTAATAAAATACAGTTGTAAAATGATAGGTAAGTATAAATGATATGTATAAAACTTTTTTTTTTAAATGCCAGAGAAGCAGTTGTTTTGTTTGTGCTTTGTTCTTGCAGTATAAATAATCTAAGTCTTTCCTTTTTCTATAGAATTTTCTGTCACTTGATGAGATGTCACAGTGTTACCCTCAGCTGCCATCAGATGGTGAAATGATAGTGGATGTGCAAGACTTAACAGCTTTTTGGGAAAAGGTAAGTGACCCTCCATTTCAGAATCGTGACTGCTAAAAGACAACTATGACATAGATTTATCAGAGAATTCTGAGATTTTACACATACTGTTAAGTGTGACTTGCCCATTTACTGAAAATATGTTATGAAAATTCTCAGAATCAGGAATAAAGTTTGCAATGAATGGAAATTAAGTATAAAGTCATCATGAGGCATTTGACATGTTGCTCTCTATCTCATTTTCAAGAGAGCTTTCAAAGTATTAGCACATGTTGAATTGAAAGTACATAACATTCTTCTTTTTTAAATTTTATTTTATTTTCCATTATGTATGTTTTATTACAAAATATCAAATGTAAATCCCTGCTCTATACAATAGGATCACCTTAAACAAAAGATATACAGCGTATATACATCTTTTCTTGAAAACCCAGATCTAATATTTTGGGCATCAGTGGTTTAACTGTTTTTAAGCATGGCAATATCCTTTGGGGTTACTTATGATGATAAAGTAGACAGAATGCTGTAGTACTGAATGGGTTAACTAACAAATACATAACCAGTTGCTACAGACCAGAGGCTTTCAGGAATCAGTGTACGTTTTTTGCCCTGATGTTCTTACTGTACACTGAAGGAGGCCATGATTTGGATCTTGGCTGTGGGATAGGGTGGGTTCTCCCCCATCCTGAGATTCTGGATGGCTCTGGCTACTTTGTTGGCAGCCGGGGGCAGGAGAAGACAGCAGGTGGGCATCGTGAGCAGCAGAGATTCCCAGCTAAAGGGACTTAGCCACTGTGTGGCAAGTTGACAGGGAAAATTGGCAATTTTCCAATACTTGATTTATTTATGAAGTTCAGACAAATAGGAAAAACAACAGAGACTGATCTCAAGAAGTCTGAAAATATCTCACTCCAAGCACCCCTTTAACCAGTGACTGAAATGTTCCCCCTGGTTCCCTGGTCCTCTGTGCACATCCTCATGGATCAGTGTGGATTACTCAGGAAAATAGAACCCACGACATGGGAGAGGGAGTTCCGTGCAGCAAATTAGTTACATAGGAGATGAAAGAGCCAAAAGGGCAAAATTGTGGTGAGTAAGGCAATGCAGTGATTAGTGATAGTAAGAAGCTGCTCCCACCCTCAGGGCTGTTGATCCCTGTTGAATCATTATCCCCTGATCCTAAATAATGGAGAGGCAGATCCCCAGAACCCTTAGGCTGTCAGGTTCTTCCCCCTTCTGGTCATGGCTGAGTAGTGCCCAATCCTGAAGCCTGATCAGGGCATGAACTCTGGCCCTGACAGACTCTAGGGGCTGTGGCGGACTGACCTGGGTCATTATCTGAGTGTGGATCATTGTTTTGTTCTCAAAACCGAGTGAAAAGTAGTAAAATAGGAACCATAGGTGTCAGATAATAAGAGAAACTTAAAACATATTTCTCATGTATTAAAACCTAGGTTCTCCTTGGGAGCTTTTATAATTCCTATAAAATATGGAGTAGGTTTTTGATGATTCAAAGTAATTGTTGTTAAGTAAGTGTTTCATAATTGGTTTAGTTATTTCCAGAGAAACTTTTCATTTAGAATATTTTCCAGACCTTTTTATCCAGAAGTATGAAGTGTCAGTCATTTCAGCCATATCTGACACTTTGCGACCCCGTGGAGGAGCCTACAGGTTCCTCTGTCCATGGGAGTCCCCAGGCAAGAATACTGGAGTGAGTTGCCATTCCCTTCTCTAGGGGATCTTCCTAACCCAAGGATCTAACCTGAGTCTCTCACACTGCAGGTGTATTCTGTACCATTTTATCATGGACGTGTTCTTTTAATCTTTTAGACATTTTACTAATCACATATAAGCGCTCTTTTTTTTGAACACTTACTGTAATTGAGAATTTTGTTTATACTTAGTACATGTGAAGACACAAACACACTTAACTCTTGTTACCTTAGCACTTAATAGATTGTGCAGTAAATCTACTTGCACCTGACATGCCGAGATTTTGTCCATCTTCCTCGATTGTACACCCAACAAACAGCACAGCTCCATGTTTTGTTGTTCCTGTTTAGTCAGGACAAGAAAGGCATGTAATACATATAAAATTGAGGCTTTATCACTCTGCCCCATGATGCCATAATTAATGTCTTCATTCCCCATGTTTTGTTGTTGTTGTTCAGTCCCTAAGTCATGAACAACTCTTTGAGACCCCATGGGCTGTAGCATGCCAGGCTTCCATGTCCTTCACCATCTCCTGGAGCTGGTTCAGACTCATGCCATCGAGTCAGTGATGCCATCCAACCATCTCATCCACTGTCGTCCCCTTCTCCTCCTGCCCTCTATCTCTGCCAGCATTAGGGTCTTTTCTAATGAGTTGGCTTTTTGCATCAGGTAGCCAAAGTGTTGGAACTTCAGCTTCAGCATCAGTCCGTCCAATGTATATTCAGGGTTGATTTCCTTTAGGATTGACTGGTTTGATTTCCTTGCAGTTAAGGGTCTCTCAAGAGTCTTTTTCAGCACCACCATTTGAAAGCATCAATACTTTGGCACTCAGCCTTCTTTATGGTCCAGCTCTCACATCCATACATGACTACTGGAAAATCCATGGCTTTGATGATATGGACCTTTGTTAGCAAAGCAATGTCTCTGCTTTTTAATAGGTTTTTCATAGGTATTCTTCCAAGGAGCAAGCATCTTTGAATTTTATGGATACAGTCACTTCTGAAGTGATTTTGGAGCCCAAGAAAATAAAATCTGCCAGTGTTTCCACCTTTGCCCTTTCTATTTGCCATTAAGTGATTGGACTAGATGCCATGATCTTAGTTTTTTGAATGTTGAGTTTTAAGCCAACTTTTTCCACTCTCCTCTTTCACTCTCATCAAGAAACTGTTTAGTTCCTCTTTACTTTCTGTCATTAGAGTGGTATCATCTGCATATCTGAGGTTGTTGATAGTTCTGTCAGAATTCTATATTCCAGTTGTGATTCATCTAGTCTGGAATTTTGTATAATGTAGTTTGCATATAAGTTAAGTTAGCAGAGTAACAGTACAGTCTTGACGTACTTCTTTCCCAATTTTGAGCCAGTCTGTCATTCCACATTGGTTTCTAACTGTTGCTTCTTGTGCAGCATACAAGTTTCTCAGGTGACAGGTAAACCTGGTGTGGTGTTCCTATCTCCTTAAGAGTTTTCCACAGTTTGTTGTGATCCACACAGTCAAAGGCTTTAGTGTAGTCAATGAAGCAGAAGTAGATGTTTTTCTGGAATTACCTTTTTTTCTATGATCCAACAGATGTTGGCAATTTGGTCTCTGGTTCCTCTGCCTTTTCTAAATCTAGCTTGTACATCTGGAAATTTTCAGTTCATGTACTGCTGAAGCCTAGCTTGAAGGATTTTGAGCGTTACTATGCTAGTATGTGAAATTAGTGCAGTTGTGCAGTACTTGGAACATTCTTCTGTCCATATGGGAATCTAGCCAAAAAAAAAAATAAAAAAGGAAACTTCATAAAGTCAGTTAAATCTGCCTCAAGAGATAAGATTTGATCAGAGGCCTCTGGGACACAGTATCTTAAAATAGGAAAGAGATAAATGTGGGTTATATTTTGCATATTAATTATGTTGACTATTGTTTTCTTTTCCACTTTGTAAAACAGTTTGTGTTACTTTATTGAAGTAGGTACATTTTTATAAACTTTAATTTGTAGGCATCAGAGACCCCAACCCTACGAGGCCTTTCCTTTACTGTCAGACCTGGTGAACTGTTAGGTGTGGTCGGACCTGTGGGAGCAGGAAAGGTAAGTTATGATGCCTTTTGTCAGTTTGATGCAATGCTGCAGCTCCTGTTAAATTCTCAGGGTTGAGCCCAGAGTTATGTGTGACACAGTTTGAATTGAGTATATCTAGAAAAATATTTCTCTAGGTATGTTCCATGGAGCGTTCATTTTACAAGAAAGTTTTGTGTTCAGATAAAATCTGGATAAATGAGCACTGTGTTTTTCTTCTTGGTGCTTCACGTGGCAGAGTTGGGAGCTGCTTGTGGGGAATTTGGATGTCTCAGTGAAGGAAATTATCTATTTGACTGCTGTTCATGATGGACAGAGACAATGGGGACTTCTTTTTATGTTAGTGGCCCTTCCAGGAAATCTGGAGGTCATAAAGACACTTACCAGAAGCTTTGAGCGTTTCCTCCTGTGACTCGACATGATTCTCTCAGTGCACGTGTAGTGAATGTGCAGCCACGTGCCGGACACATAGGTACAGATGTGAGCAAGTCCCTGACTCTCTCCTTTTCAGAGGCAACCAGGTACTGGGGTGAGACAAATACACCAACATATTATTTCAGCCCAGTGGTGAGTGCTCTGATGGTGTAGATACACATATACCACGTCTGAGTGATGCTGAAGATTTGGAGGAAATATGCACATGCTTTTGGTCTGAAACAACAAAATACAGAAATCTAATGTGGGATGTGGGCTTCCCTGATGGTTCAGTGATAAAAGAGTCCACCTGCCAACTCAGGAGACACACGAATCTTCCCTGGGCTGGGAAGATTCCACATGTTCGGGAGCAACTAAGCCTCTGCACCACAACAGTTGGGCCTCTGCTCTAGAGCCTGGGAGCTGCAACTACTGAGCCTACAGGCTGCAACTGCTGAAGCCTGCTCACTAGAGCCTGTGCTCCTCAACAAGAAAACCCCTGTGCACTGCAATGAAAAGCCAGTGCCAGCAAAAAGAAATACAATTAGAATGTGGAATGGCAGAAACCAACATGACATTGTAAAAAATAAATGAAAAAAATAAAAGAACTAAAAGTAAATTTAAGAAGTTATTTTTAAAAATGTGGAATGTGTACATGAAAGGGTACTGATTTCCTCTATGATGGACTTTTGCTCTGCAGACAGAACTCACTTCAGACTTCTTTCAATTAATCATCTTTGGATATATTCATCACACCTAGCTTTTTAAGAATAAGTGTCAAGAAAAGGATACCCAGGTGCAGGAGCAACTGCACTAAACATCAGATGCAAGAAATACACATCCTGCTGGGTTGCTCTGCTAGAGAAGGATGTTAACATTCTTAATTACTCTTTGCTGAATAGAATTTAATTTGGGGGATACTTGGGCAGAGTAGATAGTTTATGCTATTAATATGTTCCTTTTCAGCCATTGTTTTCATTTCAAAAACAAATTTTCATTAGTGTTATTTTCTTTCTTTCTTTTTTTAGTCTCAACTGTGAGGGCTGTGCTTTATCCTGTTGAAGGAAAGTGTTCTATCGTGTATCAAGCACCAGGGTGGGGTCGGCTGTGCTGCGGGGCGTGTTCTGTCCTGAGTGCTGCCTGTTCACGTGTGTGTGTTCCCGTCTGTTTCAGTCGTCACTGTTGAGCGCTGTGCTGGGGGAGCTGCCCCCGAGCCAGGGGAAGGTCAGCGTGCACGGGAGGATTGCGTATGTTTCTCAGCAGCCCTGGATGTTCTCAGGAACTGTGAGGAGTAACATTTTATTTGGGAAGAAATATGAAAAAGAACGATATGAAAAAGTAATAAGGGCTTGTGCCTTGGAAGAGGTGAGTAATGACTTCTGAGTTGCATATACTTGAATTTCAAATGATGATAGTGGTTTAAACTACAAGGTTTGTTAAAAGATCTTTTTCAAAAAATGGATTTTTGAATGTTGCTTAATATTTAAGTTGGTCTTCTGGGTAAATATGCAGGCATATTTACATATGCTGCCATTTTAATCCTTATGGGATAATGACATTCACAGAATACCTTTTCTGGAGGGGGTGCTTGCTTCTTTCTGTGAAGTTTCATTCACTTTCAACTTTTTAAAATGGAAAGTTACAAAAGTTTACAAAAATAGAGAGCATGGTGTAATGAACCCTCATGTACCCCCCCACCCCCGCCAGCTTTAGCTAGGATCAGCTGGTGGCCAGTCTCACTGCATCTCTACCCCTGCCCTCTGCCAGCCCCACCCCGATCCCAGAGTATTGTGGAGCAGATCTTAGACCTCAGATTAGTTCATCTGTAAACATTTCATTAGTTTTCTCTAAAAGACAGGAAACCTTTGGAAAAAATTCACTACTTTATTTCACCTGAAAAATACCTCAAATTCCTGAGTATCTCCAACCTGCTGGTCTGTGTTTACATGTTGTTGATCATCTCACTGAGAAATCTTCACCATTATTGGAATCCACACAAGGTCTGCCCCCTGCACTTGACCGATGCCTCCTTGGTCCCTTTCAGTCTGTGAGTTTCTCGCTCCACTTCATCTTTGACTTGTAATTCATTATTTATGGAAACTGGAATGGTTTAAAATTTCTTTTTAATATTGCTTCATTTCACTGAGGGAGAGATTATTTTCAGAAATGGCATTGAGTTTCACAGAAAATGGTGAGATGAAAGGTTTAAACTGTATGTTGGGATTTCAGTAAGATTACTGAATAAATAATGAGAACTAAACTGATAGGAGAATGCAATTTGGCAAAAAGAAAGGAAAAGGTTAAATAATATTAAATACTATGTTACTTTCTCAGGCTGTAAAAATCAGTGAATAATAGCATTAATGGTCTCCCCCTGGGGTCTGTTTAGTTCAGTCTGGACATCTGACTGTTCTTTTGTACTGTGAGGAAAAGGCAGGGACAGATTTTCAAAGGTGTGGTATTGAAGGCTCCAAACTTGCTTTCTGAGAAAATTGTAATTCTCTTCGAACAATGGTTTGAACATCATAGGTTAGTTATATCAGGTGTGTGTGCATGCTAAGTCACTTCAGTCGTGTCTGACTGCAGCTCTATGGACTATAGCCCACCAGGCTCCTCTGTCCATGGGATTTTGCAGGCAAGAATACTGGAGTGGGTTGCCGTGTTCTTCTCCAGGGGATCGTCCCAACACAGGGATGAACCTGGGTCTCTTATATCTCCTGCATTGGCAGGTGGGTTCTTTACCACTAGTGCCACCAGGGAAACCCTATATCAGGTGAGTAGCATTTTACAATGATATGGACAAACAGAATTGCTTGTTTAATGGGCTTATTTCTTTATTCTGGGGTCTTGTTCAGGGGTGGTTGTACATTTGCAGAGATGATGTCAAATTAGCAGGGATGAGCTTGATATTTATTAAATGGTATAGATACTGTATAAGTAAAGAAGGAAAAGCAACTGTAGAACAGTGAGAAGAATAGCTCCCATTTATTCAGAGTTCACATGCAAATCATTTTTCTCTTTCACACATGTGCATGCACACGCACAACAATGTTTTTGAGTTATTCATTCTTTATGAGTGGCTTTGATATTCCCTTCTTCATTTTATAGTTAATAAAACTGAGGCCTGGAGAGATGAGACACCTCATCTCTACATTTGCAGCTCAAGTTCAGATCCTGGGGCCGATGCTTTGCTGCAGCCTCTTGGGAGCAACATGGACAGTGTCTGGGGCTTCACCCACCCTGGGGCGTCTGTGCAGCACAGACTCTGGTGGGAAGGGGCCCTGCAGGACTGGGCTGCACAGAGATACTTCTGTATACGATGTGATGTTTATAAACATGGACTGCTCTCCTGTTCTCTGTGTAGTTGGGACATGGAATCAGGACTCCTCGTGCACATTTCCTTCTTGGCAGGAAGGGAGGGTCAGGGTAGAGAAGTAACAGAGAGCAGAGCCCTGACCTTGACTTGATCACTTGCCTGCTGTCACTGTGGACATGTCTTGTCACCTGCCTGGACCTCTAATGTTTCTGCAGCAAAACGAGGACATTGGGTCAGAGGGTTTCCAAGAGGTTTTGCTGCTGCTCTGAAATGTCATCTATGTGTCTGATTAGTAAGGGGTCAGCAAGGCCTTTACAATACCTGGGAACCACTTAGTAAGTTATGAGAGGCTCTGCTTATCTCCTTTTGGATTCCAGGTATCAGTGGATGGACATAAGGAAATCTCAGGAAACAGTGGCATCCTGGAGTCAGTCTGGCATGTAGACAGAGATGGCATGTAGTAGAAAGGGCTTGGCCTTTGAAGAGAAACCGTTCTGGGTAGTAACTCCAGGTGTTTGTCTCAGTTTCCTTTTTCTTAAATGGGGGAGGGGTGAAATTACTGTAAAGGCTATAGGTCATGCCTGTGAAATGTAAACAAGCCAGGATTTCAGTAAATGGTGGCTATTATTATTACTATTCTAACCTTTTTCTCTCCATCCATCCACCCATCCATATAAATATAATAAAAATTTCTCCTTACTCTTCTTCCTATTCCCACCTCCTCCAAATCTGAAGGATAAAACAAAAACCAAACATTTTTTATATTACATCTGTTAATAACAACTAGATGTATTATACCAGATCTAATTGAACTAATCCTTTAAGTTCATTGAGCTGAAAATGTTTCTGTAACAAAATAGGGAGACATGAAGTAATCACATTGGCAACATAGATTCAGGTTGATGACATAAACTCCAAGGTCTAGGAATCAGAAGGTTCAGGAATTGAGTCCCAGTCTCTCTGTTGATCAGGTGTGTGGTTTGGCTAATTGATCCTTACAAGCCTGTTTCTTCATCTGTAAAATGGAAATAATAAAACTATCAGCCTCATGAGGTTGTTTTGAGGATGAAATCTGGTTGTGATTTTTAAAGACCTGATTGCTAGGGACATAACAAGCACTCTGTAGGTATTAGAATGATTTTGAAAATAAATTAACTCTTAATTATAGGCTCAGCCAGTTTTTGGTAAAATTACGAATATAAAATGTGATATGTAAGAAAGAAGGTACCTGAATATTTAACTTACACTGTTTCCTTTGATATTTCTATAGGTGCTCTACACATTGTACATTATATAAATCAACAATAACAATATTCTATTACCATAATATAAGCAATGTAGTATGTAACATTTGTCTACATGTTATCTTTAACCACTGGGAGGCTTTTGAAAATATTTAGTCAACATGTATTTAAAGGTATCAAATTGATAAATTCTAGTTTTTAAAGGTATCAAGTTGATAAATTCTAGTTTAATATTTTCCCACATTTGGACATTTTCTTTTCAGATTTCCTTGAAAATCTTAGGTTAATAAGTGTGTTGATCCTTCTCTGTCTAGGTGTAGAGGACTTCAGGTCTTGAGTTAGTGTTGCCTTTGTTTCAAATATACTCTTCAGTCATCACCTGGGCAGCCTGATGCAAAAGAGCAGAAGACTATGAACTGACGTGACCTTGTTCAGATTCCTGCTCTTTTGTTTAACAGCTTACCGTCCTCAGACCAGTGATGTGACCTCACTCAGTCTCAGTTTCCTCATCTGTGAAATGGGGCCAGTACTTCTTGTGAGCTTGTTGTGGGGATTAGAGATAATCATCATCAGGGTCCAGCACAGATCTTGGTGCACAGATCTTACCCCCAGGAGCTGAGAGAAGCCGTGTGCGTGTGTACAAATGATGGAGCAGAATAAGATGGTCCTTCATGAGAGATGAGAGATGTAAACAGAGCCTTAGGAGCCCACCAGGAAGAGATGAGTCCAGGATGGTTTCATGGGAGAGTGTATTTGGGCTGAACCTGGAAAGATGGGCGGGATATTGACAGGACGTGAGAGGAGGGGCGATTCCATGTGGAAGAAAAGCTGTGAAGGGAGGTGTGTCCTTCCCACTGCTTGACGCGAGTCCAGTCTCCTGTGCCAGGGCCTTACATCATGCCCGCATTGACCACTTCAGCAGTCTGCTCTGAGGTGTCTCTACTGTAGGTCTCCTCCATTGCTGAAGACCCTTGATGTGCTTCTGGGAAGATGGCACCAAACCTGCATCATCATTTCCTAGTTTGCCTCTAGTGTGTGTGTCTGCTGTTCAGTGAGAATTGGTTATATTTAACTTACAATAATATAATAATAAAAATAACTTAGAAAGGGATGACAGAGGATGAGATGGTTGGATGGCATCACTGGCTCGATGGACATGAGTTTGAGTAAGCTCTGGGAGTTGGTGATGGACAGGGAGGCCTGGCGTGCTGCAGTCCAGGGGGTCGTAAAGAGTCGGACACGACTGAGGGACTGAACTGAACTGAACTTAGAATAACAAACATGAATAAGAACACCTTCCTGTCAATGGAAGGAGCGGTAATATATTCTCAACTCAAGCTTTTCCTCTTTAATCTAATCAGAAAATGGTGACTGAGAAATCAGCTTGAATTTGTTTTATTTCAAATCCTCCAAACTGTTTTTCCTCTTGGTGGCTTGTTCATAACTAATTTGCAGGGTCAACAACACTCTTGAAGTATTACTACCTGACTCGGGGATAGTTTCTTATGTCCTGGAAAGAGAGGCCACAAGTGCCTTTTCTAGAATGTGGTTAAGATTGCTATATTACAACACAGTGCTATTTTAAGAAGAAAACCATTTGAACAACAGAAAATCAAAGCTTAAAAACTAAGTGGAACAGTTTGCAAGGACTGTCAAGTGAAAGAGAGGCCAAGTAATTCTGTGTGTGTGTGTGTGTGTGAGGCTGAAAACATAGCTCATGTTTTTTAAAATGAAAACCAAAAGCAAGAAATAGTATTAATTTCTGAGCTCAAGAAAGAAAGAAGGTGAAATAATGGTAAATTGTGAGGGCTTCATCTGCAGAAAGGAACAGCAGAAGTGAGGGCTTGAGTGAGGGCGGCATCTGCAGAAATGTACTGCTGTGCATCCTATGTTGATGCCTGAGGGGTTTAGCAGATAAAACTCCAAACAAACTGCCTGTGTCAAAATGTGCCAAGTGATAACTATAGGCAACCTAAGACCTCTAATATAATACTGTGATACTTAAGCCCGATTTTTTTATCTTGTTATTTTGGGAATGTTCTTGTCATCTTTTCTTTTTTTCCCCATGATACTCTGGGAAAAATAGGTTGATTTGTCTATTTACTTCTTAAATAATATTCATATATAACTTTTGATTGAGTCCCAGATCTTCAAGTTACAACTTCATTTCCTTCTTAGCTTTGGGTTTTTCCTGCATCCACAAACAAGCATCTACTTAGTCCAGCTGATCTGCTGGGTGTCCCTTGAGCACACTGTTTCTTTCCTTTCAGTTTTCCTGCCCAAATTGCTCTTTCTGCTCCCATTTCTTGTACAGACCTTGTCTGTCACTCTGTCACTTGCCTTAAGTATCACTGTGAGGACTCGGGTCAGGTGTTATCCCTTCTCTGAAAGTGGGAAGCTGAGGCCGAGATCAGCAAAATGTCCAGTTGAAGACACACTCATTCCCTGATAAAACAAGTCCTGTGCCTTCACCAGCCTGGACCACCAGCTCTCACACTTGTGTCTCTAGCACAGACCTTTACACTTGCATGTCCAGCTGCACCATGACATCACTGAGAGGTTATCTCAACGTGTCCACAAGTGAAGTCTCCTAAGACTGTATCCAGCATCTTCTCCAACTCAGTAAATGGAGACCCTGTTCTTCCCCTTCCTCACCCCAAACACTACATCCTCGTCTCTTACATCCCACACCCATCCCGTGAGCTGGTCTTACAGACTTCACCTTCCAAATGTGTCTGGAGTGTGACCCCGTCTCTCCATTCCTGCTGCTTCCACTGTGGTCCTGACCACGGTCATCTGTCACCTAGATTCTTCCAGTAGCCTTCTCATGTGTACCTGCCCTCACTCTTCCCCACTTACTGTTTTCTATAAAGCACAGGAGTGATACATTAAAAACCTCAGACCACATCAGTCTTCCCCTCCCTCTCCTCTTCTTACTGGAGTGACCCCAGGCTCCTCCTGCTCTGTCTCCGTCCTCACCCCCCTCATTCTCACTTGGCTCTGCTCTCCTGCCTCCTTGTCCTGAACCCCTTGGGCATCTCCCCATGGCCCCTGCACCCGCCCCTCCCTCTGTGAGGAGCAGCCTTTCTAGGTCTGCCTGAGCGCCTCCCCCTCCCCCAGATCTGCTCACACCCCCTCTGATCAGAGCCCTCCGAACCCAGTGCACACTTACTTCCCTCCAGTCTCCACCCCCCTTAGCCGGCTTCCTTTTCCTTCTTGTCCTCAGTACTTGTGCTCAGGTTATTTTCCATATCGTCTGTCTTCCACCATGGAAAGAAACTCTAGGAGCTTTGTTTCTTCACAGCTGAGTTCATAGTGCCCAGAGCAATGCCTGTCATATAGTAGATCCTCAATAAATATGTTAAAATGGTCAAAAGCATAGATGCTGTGAAAAACTACAGAATGAAAACAAAAAGCATGGAGAAGTTTTTTTTAAATGTTCAACCCATGAACACATACCCATTGCTGTGGCTTCCTAGGTGACTCAGTGGTAAAGAATCCACTTGCCAATGCAGGAGACACAGGAGACATGAATTCCACCCTTGAGTCTGGAAGATCTCCTGAAGGAGGAAATAGCAACCCACTCCAGTATTGCTGCCTGGAGAATCCCATGGAGAGAGAAGCCTAATGGGCCATAGTCTATGGGGTTACAAAGAGTCGAAAACCTCTTAGCAGCTGAGCATGCATGCATGTTCATCAAATACTTGTATGAAGAACTAATGCTAAACACTTAAGATGGTAGTAGAACACATTTTAAAACTTTTTTTTACCACCCCCCCCCCTTTTTAATCTCTGTATAGGATTTACAACTTTTGGAGGAAGGAGATCTAACTGAGATAGGAGAACGGGGAACCCCACTGAGTGAAGGACAGAAAGCCCGGGTCAGCCTCGCCAGGTAAATGGGGTTTCAGTTGCCATCCTGCCCCTCCTCCTCTGTGGCTCCCAGTGGACGTGAGCACACAGACTGCGCTCACCGGGTGGGTCTGTGTGAAGCAGGGTCTTAGTTCTTTCCCTGGGCTCCAGGAAGGAACATGAAGTTGTTGGACACCATCATGATTCAGAGATGAGACCCAGGGAGTGTGAAGTGTCCTCTCCTGACGTCTCTCTACGTGTTCTAGAGCCGTGTATCAGGATGCAGACATCTACCTCCTGGATGATCCGCTCAGCGCAGTGGATGCAGGAGTCAGCAGACACTTGTTCGAACAGTGAGTTTGCTCCTGTTTTCTATCATCTCTGCTTTCTAGGAACCCTGTAGAGATCAGGGAAGGGAGCTCAGGAAAGCCTTTGTGCTTCAGGAGACTCAGTCTGTTCTGCTCTGGTGTCCCTCTCTCCCCTCCCTTCCTTCCACAGAAGATCCATCGTAGAGAAATTTTGCATCATGATGAGGTCAGGATAGGAAAATATAAAAGGTGCTTCCAGTGTGTGGAGGCCAGTGGAGTCTGTTCTTTAGAGAGTGAGGGATAGACCGCAGATTGCCTCTGCTACTTGATGTTGATAATCAGACACTGTGGATGGATCCAGACACCAGGAATAAGAGAGATGATGTATGTTTTTTAAATCAGAGAGTGAGACTCCATAACTTGGTACTTGGCTTCCAGTTCTTTTCCTCCATCATTTTTTTAAGGCACATTAGAAGTGAAGTTTTTGGTACTGACAGAAGGCTTCCATGGAAAGAACTTGTTGGTTTACACTTGTTATTATTTCACTTTGGAAATAAAGTCTTTATTAAGTCTAGACTTAATAAAATCCTAAAAGATGAAGCTGTAAAAGTGTTTCACTCAATATGCCAGCAAATTTGGAAAACTCCCCAGTGGCCATAGGACTGGAAAGATCAGTTTTCATTCCAATTCCAAAGAAGGGCAATGCTAAAGAATGTTCAGACTACTACACAAGTGTACTCATTTCAGATGCTAGCAAAGTAATGCTCAAAATTCTCCAAGCTAGGCTTCAATAGTACATGAACTGAGAACTTCCCAGATGTTCAAGCTTGATTTAGAAAAGCAGAGGAACCATAGATTAAGTTGCCAACATTCATTGGATCATAGGAAAAGTAAGAGAGTTCCAGAAAAAACATCTGCTTCTGCTTCATTGACTATGCTAAAGTGTTTGTGTGGATCACAACAAACTGTGGAAAATTCTTAAAGAGATGGAAATACCAAGACCATCTGACCTGCCTCCTGAGAAACCTGTATACAGGTCAAGAATTAACAGTTAGCATTGGACATGGAACAATGGACTGGTTCCAAATTGTGAAAGGAGTACATCAAGGGTGTGTATTGTCACCATGATTGCATAACTTCTATGCAGATTACATCCTGCGAGATGCCCGACTGGATGAAGCTCAAGCTGTAATCAAGATTGCTGCGAGAAATATCAATAACCTCAGATATGCAGATGACACCATTCTTATGGCAGAAAGTGAAGAGGAACTAAAGAGACTCTTGATGAAGGTGAAAGAGGAGAGTGAAAAAGTTGGCTTAAAGCTCAACATCCCATCACTTCATGGCAAATAGATGGGGAAACAGTGGAAACAGTGTCAGACTTTATTTTTGGGGGCTCCAAAATCACTGCAGATGGTGGCAGCCATGAAATTAAAAGACGCTTACTCCTTGGAAGGAAAGTTATGACCAACCTAGACAGCATATTAAAAAGCAAAGACATTCCTTTGTCAATAAAGGTCCGGCTATGTAGTCAAGGCTATGGTTTTTCCAGTGGTCATGTATGGATGTGAGAGTTGGACTATTAAGAAAGCTGAATGCCGAAGAATTGATGCTTTTGAACTGTAATGTTGGAGAAGACTCTTGAGAATCCCTTGGACTGCAAGGAGATCAAACCAATCCATCCTAAAGGAGATCAGTCCTGGGTGTTCATTGAAAGGACTGATGTTGAAGCTGAAACTCCAAGACTTTGGCCACCTGATGCGAAGAGCTGACTCATTTGAAAAGACCCTGATGCTGGGAAGGATCAAGAGCAGGAGGAGAAGGAGGCAACAGAGGATGAGATGGTTGGATGGCATCACCAACTAAATGGACATGGGTTTGGGTGAACTCCGGCAGCTGGTGATGGACAGGGAGGCCTGGTGTGTTGCAGTTCATGGGGTCACAAAGAGTTGGACAGGACTGAGTGAATGAACTGAATCTCCTAATACCAACACATTGGAGATTAGGTATCATGTGTGAATTTTGGAGAACAAAAATATTCGGTCTATAGCAAGTTGTCACAGATGGGGTGCTTAAAGATTAGAAATTAATTTTCTCACAGTTCTTGAGTATACAGGTTCAAGGTGTGGGCAGGTTTAGTTTCTCCTGAGAACTCTCTCCTTGGCTTCTGACCACATTCACCTCGCTGTGTCTTCACATGGTTTTCCCTCTGTTTATACACAACCTCTGTCTCTGTCCTTTTAAAAAAAAAAAAAAAAAGAATTGTTTTTATTGAAATATAGTTAATTTATTACATTGTGTTAATTTTGTACAGCAAAGTGACTCAGTTATACACATATATCCACTCTTTTCCATTATGGTTTATCTCAGGGTATTGATTATAGTTCCCTGTACTATACCATAGAACCTTGTGAGACGTTTGAGAAGCTCTGAGCCCTGGACACTAGGATCTGGGATTCCATGTCCACTAAACAGAAGTCATTAGACTTTGCTGGAACCTGCCCATGTATAAAATGTGCTTAGTGTTGGGGTGAGGAAGAGTTGTGGAGATGGATGGTGGTGAAGTCTGCACAACAATGTGACTTTACATAATGCCACTGAGCTATATGCTTAAAATGGTTAAAATGGTAAATTTCTTATTATGTATACTGTAACACGCATATACAGAAAACTGCATAGTAGCACTGAATCTTTGAGAACACGGGGAAGCAGGACAGGTAACACACAGCTATGGCCTCCAGCTCTCTAATCTGACCCGCCTTTTCACCCTCTCCTGTTTGTGACTTGATGAATTTTCCATTAGAGAAGTGCTTTGTGTCTTGTCACGAGTTGAGTGACAGGAGCTCGTGCTGTGACAGGGATTCCCCACCTCCACCCTCCTGGCATCAGTAATATCTCAGCCTCCCTGTTTCCAGCACCCTGCCCTGAACTCAACAAATGTCTGTCATCCCCTCTTGTGAGCATCTGCACAAGTTCCCCATCACTGCAGGAACAGTTTCTACTGGTGGTTGCATCTGTGTCACAGGGAGGGGTGAGCAAGGCAATTGGTGTCAAGTACAGTGTGCTGATTACAAGAGGTCTCTTGAGTTCTTTTTCAAACACAGGAGATATTTATAAAATCCTCTAAAATATTTTGGGTGTACCACTTTGGATATATACTTGATAGAAACAAGGTTAAGATTGTTGTTTGCTAATCAGAGCTACATTCTCTAGGGTGATGTAAAGCAGAGAGCAGGAAAGCATTTTAGGAAACCACTCAGCAGTGACTGCAATGTTCTCAAGTTAGGAAATTGGATGGAGCAATATTCTATGAGAGATGATGGTCATGTGGAAGCTTAGTAATAGGAAGTGTTTTATAATTAAGAGTGAATGAATGACACTTCTACTTACCATTAACAGTTTCCTTCCATCATGAAGGAAAGCCATTCAGGTTTGTGAGTTTTACTTTATGCTGTGAACACTAAATGGGTTCTGTCACCTACAGAAGGTGAGAAGCATTAGGTGAACAGATAGAGTCTCATCATGCCATGGGGATCATGCTATGGGTCCTGTTCTGGTTCAGTCCCACATCGCCAGACCCCTACCTCCTGCATCATCAGGTCTTCAGGTCTGCCTTGACCAGACTCTCACGCTGCTGTCTATGCAGCTCACCCTCCTGCTCCAGCCCTTCTTAAGCCCCCCACCCCTCACGTTCAGGAAGCAACTCCAGGTCCTTAAACAAAGAATGGGCTTCTTTGCTGTCTTCCCCCATCAGCCTTTCCAGCTCATCCCCACACCTACTCGGTGTCCAGATGTGCTGGCTCTGTAGGGGTCCTTTCTCACCCCTTTCTGTCTGTACATACTGGTCCCTCTGTCCCAGAGCCAGGGAACAGTGTCCCAGGACACAGAAGGTGGAAGATGGGCCCTGCCGTTCCCTCCTGCTCCTCCAGGGGGCACCTGTGCCCTCTGTCTTCCTACAGCCCTTAGAGGGTGTGCTTGACCATTTATGAGTCCCTCCAACCACCCCTAAGCTGTGAATGCAGGAAGGCGCCTCAACCCAGTGCAGGCCCTCTGCACCTGCTGTGTCTTCTTCCAGGATGTGTTTCCACATGTTCTCAGGGCTCCTGTGCCTCCCCATCTAAGATAGCAGCCCCCCCTTGCTTTCCCTACAGAGCACACATCACAGCCCCATATTGCATTTCTCTATACTCATTCAGTGTGTTTGCCTTTATGTGGTGCAAAGTATTGTCTGCTTTCTTGACCTTGATGTAGGTCATATGAGTGGCACGTCAGTAAACCTCTGCTGATTGAATGAATGAAGGTGGGGACTCTGTCTTATTTGTATCCCCTCTATCACGGATGTGTCTCCTTTTAACATAGTCCTTATGTAGGATTATACTGTGTTGGCCAAAAAGTTCATTTGGGTTTTTTCTGAAAGATGTTATGGAAAAATACAAACAAACTTTGTGGCCAACCCAACAAATAGGATCAACACAGACCTTGTAGAGAAACAACACTTATACAACTTGTTGAAACAATTATTTTTATGACATGACTTGGAAATTTCACTTTCACTTTTCTTAGAGATTTAATGTGCATGCTAAGTCACTTCAGTCTGACTCTGTGCTACTCCATGGACTATAGCCCACCAGGATCCTCTCTCCATGGGATTTTCTAGGCAAGAATACTGGAGTGGGTTGCTGTGTCCTTCTCCAGGGGATCTTCCCGACCCAGGGATTGAACCATGTCTCTTACGTCTCCTGCATTGGCAGGTGGGTTCTTGCCCAATAGCGTCACCTGGAGAGAGATTTGGATAAAAAGCATTATTTAGAAAGCATTCACCCTGGAGGAGGACACGGCAACCCACTCCTGTATTCTTGTCTGGAAAATCCCCATGGACAGAGGTGCCTGGCAGGCCCATGGGGTCTCAAAGAGTCAGACACAACTGAGCGACTACTCACAGGAAGCATTCAAAGCCATCAGCTGATCACTTCATTGTAATTATCTGTATCTCCTCATCTATGATGGGATGTTCGGAAGAAAACATTTTATACCTTTTGGGTTGCTCCATCCTGGACTTAACAGCCCATCAAATTTGATTAACATCCATCTTTAGGGACTATTGGTAGGTTATTATGAATTAAGAAGAAATAATTTCATTAAAAGCTTTAGTGCTAAGTGTGATGAGGGGGTTACTCAGTCAAGAAACTTAGGTAGAAAAACTGAACTGAGACCTGTCAAAGGGAAAAATGACTCCTTTTGGACTTAGTGAAGCAATGGTGTGTGTGTCTACATCCTGGGCTCTTGCTTCTGATCACAGACCCAGTGTCCAGAGTGTCCCCTTAGGACTTTTCTGTCCTGAATCCAAAGCACAGGGCCAGTTGTGGGTTCTGAGAAGTAGAGAAGGGAGCTGACATTTACTGGATGGATTGGTGGTTTGATTTCTCAAAACATGTGGATGAGTTGTCACTGATGCTGTTTTGAGATGAAGAAACTGAGGTTTAGTCGCTCGTCCGATGTTGTCAGGCTCGTGAGAGGGACTGAGCTACAGTCTGCTGCCTCCAGACTCTCCATCTGACTCACTCACAGGCTGAGCTCTGGCCCAGGTTCCTGTGATTTGACCTGCAAGGGGCTCAGGCTCCCAGAGTACCTGCCTGGAGCCCTGCCTGTGGTCACTGGGGCCCTGGACCTAGTCAATCACTTCCCTGGAGGGTTGTGGACCCTGTGGGTTTGAGACTGAGTCTTAGTTCCTAGGGGTCTGCATTTAAAATGTAGGAGCAGATGGAGGAGTTATTGTAAAAACACACTTAAGGTTGGAAGCTGAGGGGGGTTGTTGGGCTGCACCCAGCAGGCCTGCCAGACCTGTGCTTGTCCAGCGTAGACTTAGGAAAGAGCCCGGAATCAGTGCAGAGACACAGATGGTTTAATGGTTAGGTCCACCTTACACTTGCGAAGGAAATCCTGGAAGGACATCCACCATTTGAGGCCCACGTTGGGACAGGACACCGTGGCAGTCTTTGCTCCCAGGAGAAGTGGAGAGCAGGGTGGGGAGATTACCTGTCATAAGGGGAGTTGATGTTAGGTTGGGCCATCAGTTACTATGAAAACCAGCAGAGGGTCATGCCCCTCCTGCCCCTTTGACAAGCATCATGGAGGGTTCTGATCTAAAGCTAGAACAGTCATTACCTGGACTCTGGGACAAGTGTGTAGGAAAGTTAGTCACATGAGTAGGGATAGGTGAAGCAGGCACTGGTTAGGCAGGGGATGTACATAGAGCAAGAGAATTGCCATCTTGGGTGGTCTGCTCACACAGGGGTCTTGACTAAGAGAACTGGTGTGTCTTTTGAGCCATTGGATGATTCCCAGTGTGATTTCCATTTTTTCATTTTCATATCTGGAAGGTCTTACTTCCTGGATGGGATAGAACATTGTAGAGACTGATGGAGGCCATGCTAGCATTCATTTTCTTACTAATACTATTTGGGAAGAAGTGCCTAGAAAATGACCTCTGGCAAAAGTTACCAAGAATCAATTAATCCTTTGTTGTTAATATGTACATCATAAATCATAAATAATCACCTAAATACTAAGAAAAAATCTACAGAGTTTTATATGATATAGATCCCTGTTCTCCCATTCCCACATAATGATAAAATAATGTTTTAGTTTGGTCAAGTTTTGGAATCTCAGTATTGCTCTATTATTTTCCATTATGAGACATATAAATTATTGCTAAGCTGAGTTTTAGGAAAAGAAATTTAGCAAGTGCCTCCTTTAATGAACTGTTTTTAAAAATTTTTTAGCAGAGCTAGAGTCAAGTTTGCTGCTGATAAATTTGAGGACCTACTTGTCATCATTGACATATTTGTATTTAATTTAATTTTTGTTTATTTGGCATTTAAAACATAGACCTTAGCTATGTTGTTTTTGTCTCATTATACTTTCAAAATATGTGTTTTCAGTTTGGAGCACCCCCATTAATGTGCTTTTGCATACTGTACCTTTTACATTTGTAGGTGTATTCGTAAGGTCTTGAAGGAGAAGATCACAATCTTAGTGACTCATCAGCTGCAGTACCTAAAGGATGCAAGTCAGATTCTGATACTGAAAGATGTAAGTAGTTTCTAGAAGTCTGGGGAACTTGCTAGCACTCAAGTATGTTGAAGATCAGGCCTCCCAGCAGGTCATTCTCTTTGGATTCAAAGTAAATGCCCCTTACTCAGTTTTACTCTCCCTTCTTCTCAGAGTTGGTGTTCATGTCTTTGAAGATGAATCTGAAGACCTGTAGAAATGTCACTATTACACTCCAAGCCACATAAACCCTAAAATATAGAAAAGTGCTACTGCAGAGTTACTAAATTATCACTGTTCTAGTGAAATTTTTAAGGATGCTATTTTATGTAAAACTTTTCCCCCCTTTCCACAACTTAAATCAAAGAGTATTAATTGGAAATTAGAGATATTAAGACCTGATTCTATACAGGTGATTGTTATACGTAGTTTGCTGGAAGAGCATCTTCTATTAACACCAGAAGTGAGGCTGGGTATCCAAGCACCTGGGTCAGAGATGCCCACTCAGCTGGTGTCTCCAGGTGTTGGTCTCCCTGCCCAGGTCTCTATGTGCCTGATACGTGTGGGAGCCTGTGCAGCAGGAGGACAAGGCCCTGCCTTCACAGGGCTCCTGTTCTTATGGGGATGGATGTGACAAAGCAGGAGTGAGGGTGACATCCTGGCTGTTTCCCTGAGGAGCTGGTGCCCCCCGGGGCCTGAGTGACAGGAAGGTGGGGTTCATGCAGTCACCTGGGGGAGGGGGTCTGAGGCAGGGAATCCTCAGGAAGGAGCGACTTGGAAGGTTGGAGGAACAGCAGGAAGACCAGCGTGTCTGAGGAGGGTGAGCAGGGGGGCATGGAGGGAGCTTGTCCCCGAGCAGTGGGCAGCAAGCCTGAAAGTGGGATAGAAGCCTTGAACAGACCAGAGCAGAGGAGGGATGTGGTCTGATGTGGGAGCTAAGAGATTCCTCTGATGGTCATTGGAGGGGTGACAGCAGAAGCAGTTAGAAGTCTTAGTAAAGCTGAAGAGACAGAAGTGTGAGCTTAGGCTAGGATGTCAGTTTCTAGAGCTGCTGTAACAAAGTACTGCAAACTGGGTGACTTAAAACAACAGAAGTTTATGGTCATCCTGTTCTGGAGGCTACGGGTCCCAAATCCAGGTGCTGGCAGGGCCGTGCTCTCCCTGAAGGCTCTAGGGGAGAATCCTTCCCTCCAGCCTCTGGTGTTCACTGGCCTTCCTTGGTGTTCCTTGGCTTCCAGCTCCAGCACTGTGGTCTCTGCCTCTGAGGTCACATGGCCACTGCCCCTGTGTTTGTCTGGGTCTCTTCTCATAAGGACGTCAGTCATGTTGGATTTAGGGTCACACTACTCCAGTGTGACCTCATCTTAACTTGATTACATCTGCAAAAACCCTGTTTCCAAATAAGGTCATGTTCATAGGTGTCATGTTTAGGGCTTAAACATACCTTTTTGGGGGCCACCATTCAATCCACAACTCCTAGCATGGTTGGCAGTGGGGTGGAGATCAGTGAGAATTTTTCAGACTTGGTGGTGGTTTGATGCTTCACTCCTTGGCTTGCTGTCTTTGTGTCTTAGCACCTCCCTTGTTAACCCTTGCCTGTTCCAATCCCTTAGTTAGATCCCTCACTTATTGAATGAATTTCTGCCCTAAGAAAATTATTAAAATGCAGAACCCCTGCCTCTCTAGAAGCAGTTCCATGTGTTGATTGTTAACTACTCTTTCAGGAATGGGGAGCTCAGGTTTCTCAAATTTGATAGCAGTTAATTTCATATTTGGAAGAGGGTGATACTAGAGTGAAAACTCCAACATTGACAGTGTTATAAACACAGGATCAGTGGGCAGGAGAATAATCCATTTAGCCCATCCCTAGATGTTCTAGGTTCCCCTTATTGCTTCTTTTGAAGGCACTGCTCTCAATTTTAGTGCTATCAGAACAACTATTTGTCCACTGGTGAGCACCCCTGGATGAGCTGTGGGTCCATCCTTACTGTTTGTCTGGTTCCTCTCTAACAGCAGAGGGAGGCTGACTGCCTCTCATCCTTTGAAAATTATCAGTGCTTGGCTGCCGAGTGAAATTGCTGTCCTTGTACTACTACTCATTTCCTTGTGCATCTTACAAATACTAAGTGGAAATTGATAGTTTCATCAAATAAGGTGCATTAATTTTGCCTTCCAAGTGGAGCAAGGCACAATATATCCTAAATAATTTTCTAATTCTGTGGTAGCTTATGGCACCCAAAGGCTTCACTGAATTTCTCCCAGTGGACTACCTCAGGAGATAGGGTGAGAGAGGCACCAGCTAGTGTCCTGGGCCACATTTTTCTACCTGACCTGCCTTAACCAGAAATGCCCTCATTTGATCAGTTTTGTATCCAGGAATTTTCCCTAATATTTTGTTTGACACTAAGTGAATGAGCTGAGTCTTATTTCATGGGGTCAGAAAATAGTGAAGACATCTGCATGTTATTTTAGATGACTTTGTAAGAGAGGGAAACGGTGCAAGGATGTGTCACATGTGCTTAAAGAGAGCTGTGTGATTGGCTGTACCTTAAGCAGATGCCTGAAGAGAGGACACCTGCTTGGCTGCTTGTGATTGGTTGTTCTTAAGTGGTTTTTTTTTTTTTTTCCAGTTATGAGTGCATTGATTCTTAGGTGTTGGTTTGCTGGCATGGGCTGTCAAGGATTCAGAGCCACCCAGTTTTATGACCTCCTTGTTTAAATACTTGGACAGGTGGAATATTGAATTTTCAGGAACTTCCTGCATTTGTGGAGAGGTGGTAAAGACTATGAAGGCAGAGTTAATGGATTCTCTCCAGAGCTGGTTCCTACATGTCTTGTCCTAGCTGGGCACATGATACTATAGCCATTGTTACTGAAAATTTGATGAAAGACCATTACCTATGGAAATGTTCTTGTGGCCACCTCTGTGTCAATCTTTCCTAGAATATCTTGCCCAGTTAACTTTTTTGAAAAAAAAATTGTGCTTGTCACATGATGCTTCTCTCAGTTTCCTTATTGTCTAAAAATACTATAGTGATACTTCCACCAATATCTGTACTTTTAGCTTCCCTGAATTCCCATGGTAGTTATGTCAATGGCCTCCGTTTTTAAAACATGAACACACATTACTTTCATATCCCCCAGCACCTAGCATAGGGTTTGGCTAATGCTTGCATATATGTTGAGTTGAACTCAACTCAATTTGTTCACCAGAATTCCAAATCTAAGGATCATTTTCATAGGAAAATCATAATTTAAGACTGGTTAATTTTTCCTGATTAGTATGTAGATTAGATTAATATTATCAAATGCAAATACATTCCTTCTAAATTCTTTATTTTAGGGCAAAATTATACAAAAGAGGACTTTTGCTGAGTTTCCGAAATCTGGGATAGATTTTGAAGATATCCTTTTAATGAAGGAGATTGAGGAGACCGAACCATCTCCAGGTCCAGGAACTCCCAGTCTGATCTCTGAGACTTTGGTTCCATCTCAACAGTCTTCCAGACCCTCCTCGAAAGATGTGGCTCCAGAGGACCAAGATGTGAGTTTCTCATCCTGCAGTGTGCCCTGGTCTGTCTGCTCCCTTCAGTCTGCTCTATTCATGACATCTTCATTTGTCCCAAAGTAAATCCTAAGGCTTCCAAAGTCTTACTCCATGGAATTTGCAGAATTAGAAAAGCCTGAAAGGAGCAAGCCTGCTTGGGGTTCCCTTTTGGGTGTAGAATGGAGAATCTTATGGCGACCAGGAGTGGGTGCACTGCTATGAATTTCTGGGTGCAAGTGGCTCACACTGATATGAGAACTCATCAGTTTACCATAGTTACATTCTACTTGCTCTTGTGGATCCTGGCTTTCCTTATGCATCCAGAGTCTTAATGTGAAGACTGCTGTGGCCACATTAAATCAGCTACTTCTCCTATATGTTGGAATGTTCTGGCACTGCAGATGACTATTTTGCTCCAGTGATAGGCCAGAGATAGTGTGTGCAAAGGACACGACACAGAATTAGTTCTTGCCTTATTTTCTTGCCCTTGAAGGCCTAGAACCACACCTTATCTGCCTTGAATCCCCAGTGGCCAGGAGAGAGCTGAGGACATCCTTGGCTAATGTGATTCTGTAATGCATCCTAAACTGTTCAGACAGAAATGCAGAAATGCACTAGCTCTCTCTTAAAAACATACACAGGTATTCCTTGATATTCAAACCCTCACTGTCCAAACCCAGGAGCCTGATGACTCTGACAAGTATTGAGATTAGTCCCTCACATTCCATACTCAGCAATCACTCTCTGAAATTCAGGGACCACAAAGATTCAGATCAAATGCTGTCTCCCGGCTATGAACCTCAGATTATTCCAACTTCAATGTGAACTCATTTTATTTTATTTGGCTAGGATTTTGAGCATCGAGTATGTTTTATGTTTCTGTCATTGGAAGTGATACATGTCATTTAGAGGGATATGTTAGTGTCATATTGTTTGGTATATTAGTTTGGAACAAGCCTCTGCATTTTTACTTGAATTAGGTATGTTGTACTTGAACCAAGAGTCATGATGACTTTAAGCAAAGCCACCCAACAGTGAATAATCTCATGCGAATGATGTTTCTTTATTTCTAATAGATTTCTAAGGATAGGATTGTTGGGTCTGAAGGTACATGCACACATGGTTTGACCAGATATTCCCACACTCCTCTCTGTAGGAGATGGGCCATCCTACATTCCTATGAGCATATGAGATGTCTTTTTCCACAATTTTGTAGTGGAGGGCATTGTTGAACTTTGGAAATTTGGGGGTTCCATACTTAAAATTTTGTTCCTCACTTCCATTTTTCTCTTTCAGGCTGAGAATATACAGGTTACATCACCACTGGAGGGCCGTTTGGTGGGAAAAGTTGGTTTTAAGACCTACAAGAATTACTTCACAGCTGGGGCTCACCAGTTTATCATCATTTTCCTTATTCTAGTAAACATCGCAGCTCAGGTAAATATGGACATTTATTTTGGTTTGTGCCCTCAGCTTGGTATTTACATACTATTTATGCTGTACTTATTTAATTTATATTAATATTGTTTTTAATATTTAGAGATTTATCTTAAAGAACTGGCTGATGAGGTTGTGGGTTCTAGCTGAGTGAATGTGAAATCAGAAAGGCAGGCCTGCAGGCTGGAACCTCAGGCAGGAGCTGACCCTGCTGTCTTGAGGCAGAATTTCCTTCTCCTCCAGGAAGCCTCAGGTTTGGCTCTCCCAGCCTTTGACTGACTTGACGAGGCCACCACAGTGTTGAGGGTGATCTCCTCTACTGAAGTTCCTTTAAAAAAAAATTTTTAAAAAAAATATTTTCCTTTAAAAAAAAATCCCCACATTTATACTATTGTATTTTGCAGTTCACTTGGATTTGCATTGAAAAGAATTCTGTGAGCAAAATAAGCCAGGCTTTCTGGCGTTGTATGTACACAACATAGAGATTCTAAGAAAAAGAATGTGTTTTAAGGATTTTAAAATGTAGCATGCCCTTCCCTGAGCTGTGGTCATCGGGGTGTGGGGCTTGGCGCAGACCTGAGCCGGAAGGACCGCCTCCGTGTCCTGGGGCCTTCCCCTCCCCCATCCTGTGAGCGGGGGTGGGGCTCAGTGACGTCAGCGTCTGAGTGACTGTGTTTCCTGCTCCAGGTCGCCTACTCCCTGCAGGACTGGTGGCTTGCATACTGGTGAGTGATTCCTGGTCTGACCCACAGTGCTGTGATATCTACACGAACCTCACTGTCCCACAGAGTCAGGGGGAGACATGGGGCTAGTTCAGCCTCCTCTTCTGAGCCTCACGTAGTTTTCCTGAAGAAAAATGAAAGTTCCTGCTGGTGGAGTGTGACTCTCCCATGGTCTCTCCCCAAGTCTGACCCTCAGCAGCTTCTTCACAGACAGTTTTGAGAACTGAAAGTTGTGATTCAAATGGAATTTTTATAAGATAGAGGGACACGGGGCCCTGTGAGCCGTTTTCTAGCATAAAACATATCCCCTAAATTGAGATTAATTTTTTTATTTACCTAAATTTTATCTATAGTGTAATTTTATTTCCTGTTCCATAGGGCAAATGGACAGAGTACTCTGTATTCCATAGAGTATGGAAAAGAAAAGGCAATTGTGATGCCTAATCCTGTCTGGTACTTTACAGTTCATGCAGGTAAAGTTGAGTCTATTATATGAGAAGCTGAGTTGCTTACAGTGAGCCTGTGTGAGCACCTAGGGCTCCCAGGTATAATTCAGTAATGTCTTACCTTGCGGCTTGGCTGGAAAAGAATCGCCTGCAATGCAGGAGACCTGACTCTGATCTCTGGGCTGGGAAGATTTCCTGAAGAAGGGAACGGCTACTCACTTCACTGTTTTGGCTTGGAGAATTCCACGTACTATTGCATGGGGTCGAAAACAGTTAGACATGACTGAGCGACTTTCACTTCAACAGATGAAGAGTCTGAGTTGCATCTACTCTGTGAATCAATTAGAATGGTTATTTTTGAAGTCTACTAGAAGAAAGAGGGTGCATGAAGACTTAATTTGCTCTGTAGTGGATTTTGGTAGTTAAACCAGGATTGCATACTGACAAAATCAGCCACTGGAGATTTGTGCTATTGTCTACTCTAGTAGGTTGCCTTAGCTAAATCTTCTATCATATGAATGGGCAGTGAAAGTGAAAGTCACTCAGTTGTGTCCGACTTTTTGTGACCCCATGGACTATACAGTTCATGGAATTCTCAGTATGAATGGGCCAGAGAGTTAGAAAATGATCCTGACCCTGTGGTTTGCATTGTTTCAATTCTTTCTGAATAAACTGTGGGATCCCTTTTATTAATCTTGGAAGAAATCCTCTGGCAGCAAGTGTCCCTAAGTAAAAGCATTATTCCCTCACAGGTATGCAAACTCCCATTTGCCACACTCCTCATCTTTTTTCTTTTTTTAAATATAAATTTATTTATTTTAATTGGAGGCTAATTACTTTGCAGTATTGTAGTGGTTTTACCATACATTGACATGAATATGCCACGGGTGTACATGTGTTCCCCATGCTGAACCCCTTCCCACCTCCCTCCCTATCCCATCCCTCTGGGTCATCCAGTACACCAGCCCTGAGCACCCTGTCTCATGCATCAAACCTGGACTGGCGATTCATTTCACATATGATAATATATGTGTTTCAATGCCATTCTCCCAAATCATCCCACCCTCGTCCTCTCCCACAGAGTCCAAAAGATTGTTCTATACATCTGTGTCTCATTTGCTGTCTCGCATATAGGGTTATCATTACCATTTTTCTAAATTCCATATATATGCATTAGTATACTGTATTGATGTTTTTCTTTTGGGCTTACTTCATTCTGTATAATAGGTTCCAGTGTCATCCACCTCATTAGAACTGATTCAAATGTATTCTTTTTAATGGCTGAGTAATATTCCATTGTGTATATGTACCATAGCTTCCTTATCCATTCGTCTGTCAGTGGACTTCTAGGTTGCTTCCATGTCCTGGCTATTATAAACAGTGCTGCAATGAACATTGGGGTACACGTGTCTCTTTCAGATCTGGTTTCCTCGGTGTATATGCCCAGCAGTGGGATTGCTGGGTCATATAGCAGTTCTATTTCCAGTTTTTTAAGGAATCTCCACACTGTTCTCCATGTGGGCTGTACTACTTTGCATTCTCACCAACAGTGTAAGAGGGTTCCCTTTTCTCCACACCCTCTCCAGCATTTATTGCTTGTAGACGTTTGGATAGCAGCCATTCTGACTGGCATAAAATGGTACCTCATTGTGGTTTTGATTTGCATTTCTCTGATAATGAGTGATGTTGAGCATCTTTTCATGTGTTTGTTAGCCATCTGTATGTCTTCTTTGGAGAAATGTCTGTTTAGTTCTTTGGCCCATTTTTTGATTGGGTCATTTATTTTTCTGGAGTTGAGCTGGAGGAGTTGCTTGTATATTTTTGAGATTAATTCTTTGTCAGTTGCTTCATTTGCTATTATTTTCTCCCATTCTGAAGGCTGTCTTTTCACCTTGCTTATAGTTTCCTTTGTTGTGCAAAAAGATTTTAAGTTTAATTAGGTCCCATTTCTTTATTTTTGCTTTTATTTCTAATACTCTGGGAGGGGGGTCATGGAGGATCCTCCTATGCTTTATGTTGGAGAGTGTTTTGCCCATGTTTTCCTCTAGGAGTTTTATAATTTCTGGTCTTACATTTAGATCTTTAATCCATTTTGAGTTTATTTTTGTGTATGGTGTTTGAAAGTGTTCTAGTTTCATTCTTTTACAAGTGGTTGACCAGTTCTCCCAGCACCACTTGTTAAAGAGATTGTCTTTTCTCCATTGTATATTCTTGTCTCCTTTGTAGAAGATAAGGTGTCCACAGGTATGTAGATTTATCTCTGGGCTTTCTATTTTGTTCCATTGATCTATATTTCTGTCTTTGTGCCAGTACCATACTGTCTTGATGACTGTGGCTTTGTAGTAGAGCCTGAAGTCAGGCAGGTTGATTCCTCTAGTTCCATTCTTCTTTCTCAAGATTGCTTTGGCTATTCGAGGTTTTTTGTATTTCCATACAAATTGTGAAATTATTTGTTCTAGTTCTCTGAAAAATACCATTGGTAACTTGATAGAGATTGCACTGAATCTATAGATTACTTTGGGTAGTATACTCATTTACACTTGGTGACCCCAAGTGTATGACATTGATTGATTTGTGGATATTGAAGAATCCTTGCATCCCTGGGATAAAGCCTATTGATCATGATGTATGATCTTTTAAATATGTTGTTGGATTCTGTTTGCTAGAATTTTGTTAAGGACTTTTGCATCTATGTTCATCAGTGATATTGGCTTATAGTTTTCTGTTTTGTGGCATCTTTGTCAGGTTTTGGTATTAGGGTGATGGTGGCCTCATAGAATGAGTTTGGAAGTTTACCTTCCTCTGCAAATTTCTGTAAGAGTTTGAGTAGGATAGGGGTTAGCTCTTCTCTAAATTTTTGGTAGTATTCAGCTGTGAAGCCATCTGGTCCTGGGCTTTTGTTTGCTGGAAGATTTCTGATTACAGTTTCAATTTCTGTGCTTGTGTTGGGTCTTTTAAGATTTTCTATTTCTTCCTGGTTCAATTTTGGAAAGTTGTACTTTTCTAAGAATTTGTCCATTTCTTCCAAGTTGTCCATTTTATTGGCATATAGTTGCTGATAGTAGTTTCTTATGATCCTTTGTATCTCAGTGTTGTCTGTTGTGATCTCTCCATTTTCATTTCTAATTTTGTTGATTTGATTCTTCTCCCTTTGTTTCTTGACACTCCTCATCTCTTGGCCTTTACTACTTAAGAGAAAAGTTAAGCAGGGAGAAATCCACTGTCTGGGAGTTAGGATTCCTTCTCTTTCTTACCTTGATATCACAATGTTATTGTGTCCTCAACTATGTGATTAACATCTGACTTGCCAGACTAACCTCTGCATAACTCTATGTGTTTTCAAAGGAGTGCTTAGAATATATGTGTCATTACATACATTTTAAGGAAAGCCTCAGCTGAAATATTAAATATTCCCACAGGAAATCCTCATACAAGTTTTCTGCAAAAATAGAGTGTGTTATCTTTATAAGAACCCACTCATTGAAATTTGGTGTTTTATTTTGTTGATCACTTGATAAGACATGTAAATTCGTTAGTTTTTTACCTTCTGAATTGGTGGACTATGGAACTTCCAGAAGGTATTCTGTTATATATTCATATAGGATGGTTAGTTAAGGCAAATATCTGTTGATGAATTCAGGAATTTGAGCAGCTGTCAGAGTTGAAATAACAATGATGTGTTAGCTGAAGGAAAAAACAAAGTATTTGATAGAATATTTATTACAGACGTTTCTCCACTCTCTCTAGCATTGTGTTTTTAAGAGATGTTATGAGGGTTATTATCATAGCAGGTACTCATTTATGTTATTAATAAAATATAAATTTAGGTGATTATGTTCATTTCCAAATGCTTCATGGTTTTATAAAATGCTTAGTGAGAAATTACTCATTTAGATTAATTATCTCATGTTAAAATATAATATATATTTTCTTGCAATTCAATTATTTAACAGACTGCCTGCCTGCAATTTAGTATAGTCTTTTCTTACTCTTTAAAGCTGCTTGGGCATGGAAATAGTTACTTTACATGGAAATAAATTTCCATGTAAATTTACCATTTACTAGGAAATGAAATATCATTTCTCCCATTCACTTTTAATTCATGGTGGTATCAAAACATTTCTCAGTGTTAGATTATGGGACATGCTCTAAATAGTAATATTTGAATTATGGTTAAAGGAAGATACTACTTTTTTTTTCCATTTATTTTTATTAGTTGGAGGCTAATTACTTTACAATATTGTAGTGGTTTTTGTCATACATTGACATGAATCAGCCATGGATTTACATGTATTCCCCATCCCGATCCCCCCTCCCACCTCCCTCTCCACCCCATCCCTCTGGGTCTTCCCAGTGCACCAGGCCCGAGCACTTGTCTCATG